ACTAATAATATCCGTAGCGCTACGGCGTGCCCGAACTTGTTTACTACGTCATAAGCCCGGGTTGTAAGTGATGCATACGCGAGTTTGGAACAACCCCCAGTTTGCTAGAAGTGTTGTCACAATCTACGATTGTTAGCTCATGGAGGCCTACGGATCCATGCTAGAACAACTCTGTAATTACCAAATAGATTGTTTGGTGGCATAGTTGAATATGATTACAGTCATCATTAAGGTTAAAATTTTTTTTCTGTTTTGAGAAATCTGCTTCTCTTCCAGACCACAAATAAGAGGATTTTGATTTTTTTTGGAACGTTCAGCATGGAGGTTATTTGGCATTCTATAAAAAGCACTACGAGTTATGACCGTTTTGTTAGTTAATTCCAGGAAGTTACAACATGTAATTTAAGTCGATTTTCCGCTCAATATAGATTTCCTGCTCCACATGATCAGCAGAATCATGCTGACAACGTCGCTGGAAACAAAATATGGGGGTAAAAACTCAAAGGACGCATCAACTGGCATCAATATTCTGACTCATGAAAAAGTAAACCTTTCGTTTTCATAACTATCTTCTTCCTGTTTCTTCTTCTTGGCAACCATTACTTTTGAAACGTTGATGTTAGACAATGCAAAAAAATCAGTTTCCCCTCGTTTTCTCCAAACTTTGAACCGGTGGCATGCAAACAAAAACCTGCAAATCTACTGCCAAAAGAGAGATTTCAAAGTTATTGCAGCGGTTCTACCCTTTTTTATCAGCTTCTTTTGCTTCTGCTATTCAAGTCAGCTCCTTCACTCGTCTCGATTTTCAGACAACCTTCACCTTTGATGGACGACAGGGTTTCAAATAATATTCACTTCTGCGGCTCTGTATACTATCGAAGGTATGAAAAGCTTTTCTCCAATGGTTTTGATGGAGCGTCGCATCGCTGTATGTCGTTCAGAACTTTTTTTGAATCCAAGACCTCTCCAACTATTGTCAGCTCAACACCATCTTTTCCATGGTGCTAATGAATTGGGAATTTGTTCCATCTGAATCGATACGCGGTTCACGGCGGAATACGGCGACGCGATACGGATTACGGAATCATCGGAGTTAGCTCTAATTACACTTATCCCTCATCGCTTATACGCTTATCTAGCTACATACAACGTATGCAGCTAGATGCGTTTTGTATCACCCACTGAGGTTGGAGCCCAGCGCGAGGATGGCAAATGGACATCGGTGAAACTGCTTTGCCTTTGCCACTATCATTTTACGATTTCCCACTTGATCCCGCCAGCTGCGTAGGTTGCTCTATCGGAGCGCACTTTAGTTCTCAGGAGGACCGGCGTCGTTGCCATTCCGGACTTTAACAAAGAGGAGAGGAGTTCTGGAACCAGAATGTTAGTATATACTGAACAGGTAGAGCAGATTTATGCAAAAATTAAAAAAACCTAGGTGAAGTGGAAGTAAATGGCATTAGGGCATTGGGCAATTGCCTAATTTGGAAAAAAGTTAAGCACGTCTTTGTTCACATAAGTTTTTCATAATTTTTAAAACTTTGCTCCTTGATCCAACTGCATGCGCACACCATTCGGTGCCATGTCGTCATCTGTGCGTTGCAAACGAGACATTTCATCATCTTGTGGAAGTGGGAAATTCTCAGGAAAAAGCTTGCCACAACCTCCACTTACATAATTTTTCCGCAATACTCGGTACTATGCTCCTTCTAGTCCATCTCCGTTTATACTCCAAATTCTTAGTCATATCGCTGTGTCTGCTACCGAGAGCATTCATTTACAACTCAACGAAAAAAACTGAATTTTTCAAGATGACGTGCGAACAAGATCGTTTTTTTTTGCTTGTCAGTCGAGTAGCAACTTGTCGAGAGAGTGTATGGACATGTAAACGTATATTTATGATGTCCCTTTTGCTTTCCATCCAAAATAATTTCCAGCTTGACATTTGTCCACCTCGTGCGGAGCCCACGATGCAATGACAACTCTACCAAAGACCCCTGCATAATTCACGCAAACGCAGTAGCGAAACGATTTGACAGTACATGCAGTCCATAATTCAGAGTAGGCGCATTGCAAATGTACAAAAATAGGGCCTCCTTGCAATCTTCGAAAGTTGGCACCACGTATTTGTAATCTGCCAGGTTACTCTGAAGACATTCGAGAAACTATGAGGTCGTATGGCGACTGGAACCGCGTGAAGTTTGTCCGACTCCAAAGGGCAAGAATTTAGCCGGCTCTTCCTCAATCTCGGCATTCACGTTGTCTCCTTTGGATCCATAGTTCAAACTTGCTTGTTCGACACAAATCACAAAGAGCAGTCAAGGACTGAAGTTCGATTGTGTTGCGAAGACGCATTATCGCAAGCGATAGTGCTTCAGGAATGCGCTTATTTCCGACTGGTGAAGCATGCCGTAGTTCTAAACGAGCATTAGTGAAATGCTCAAGACTGGATGGCCTCAACGTGTGCTTGGTGCTTCCCACGTGGGCTCAAAATCGTGCCCGAGTATAACTGGATAGGGTTATTGTGAATGTCAGGTCTTAGTTAACAAAAAAGATCGAGTACTTTGGGTGGTCTCAGCATCAACAAGTAAAAACTATGAAGCACTGGAAACAACAGTTGGTGGCAGATCAGCTTGTAAGAATATTTCAGGGATTTGGCGTACAGGAGTCGCCACGCGTTGGCATTTTTGTCCGCGAAGTCTCCCATGACCTCGCACCATTATTCCAAAATTCTCTTTGATGTATTCTGTTTCAGTACTACGTTCAATGACGAGAAAAACAACAATATGTGCAATTTTTGGCAACTAAGTAGAAAAAGCATTATTCTGGCTTATCGATGTGATAAAAAAAACATATTTAGCAATAACAACCTTCCCTCTGCGTCAGCGAATTGTACACAGAAAAGAGAGACGACTAGAAGTTTACCTCTCAGCCATATCACCTCTAGTCTTTCGCTCATTTGTGAACTGGAGCATGACATTTATCAAAGCTTACTATTTTAGACCTATTTATGGTAAATACAAAGATAATGGTTCGGCCCCGTTCTTTTACTAGATGATAGAATGTTGAGCGCTCTAACAATCCAAGCCAAAAAGGTCCAAAACTTATGTGAACTCTCCGATATTTATGCGCCAAAACCAACCCACTTGGCTTGGTGGTGGTCTAGAAACCATCGAATTGAACAGGGTATTACGAAACGATAGTTTTCTGAACTTTCTAGGCAATACCGCTGGGAGTAATAAAATGTATATATGTCCATAATTGGAGTCATACGGTCATGCGCGCTGTAAACAAGAAATTTGTATAATTTGGCATCATTTCAGAATGGCGCGCATTTGAGAAAGCAGGTTGAGCAGGTCAGTCATGCACCATCCTGATAATGAAGTAGGTAAGCATGTTGGAGGTGAGGTGTATGTAAGCCTAACATATTTCACGTTATCGCTTTTGCTGATTGCCAAAAAACGAAATCGAGTCGACTTCAGCACATCTGTGTAAAGCACTGGCCACGCATCCGTTTTCTGAAATTAAACGGTTATATTTTTGTAGAAAATTCGGTAAGCAAACCAACAACTTTTTCAAGAGTGTGGCTAGCTCCTCTACACTAGAAAATTCTACCCTTTCCTTTGAGAAAATAATCAGACAATAATTGTCGAGGCCACATTGGCTAGCCAGCGGGATCTTGGAACTACGTGTAGATGAATGCTGCTATGCAATCGACATACAGGGTGTCCCAAAAGTATGTATGCACTCTTTGATCATTAATATCTTTCTTCCCAAGAAGTCTTTTGCTTTGCTTCAGGTATCTTTTGTAGAGCTGGCTTCAACTTAGATTTGCAGTATAGAACGAATCACCCATCTCTCTTCATTACTGTAGGATTACGGTAGAAACTTCAAAGAGGTTTTTGAGCCATAAAAGGCCATATTTTGCTTCAGAAATGTAATAGAACAGCCTGAAAACTTCTACACTAGGCTAATTAGAGTTGCTGATTCTAATTGTAAAGTTCCCAGCTTATTGTGGTGCTTCATTGGAGATTCATGCCAGGTAAGCAGTAGCGGCTATTTTTTCAATGTTCCTAAAAAGTGCGGTTACACCATTTAGAAAACTTCGCAATCTTGTGAATAGTTGAGTATTGAACTCAGCGTCCATGAAAACCCTATTACACAAGTTTTCACACTTTTTTGAAGATATTTGAAACGGTAGCTTTTTCCACATTGACGCCATATGTTCAAGCTTCTACCGTAATCCTACAGTAATGAAGAGAGATGGATGATTCGTTCTATACTGCAAATCTAAGTTGAAGCCAGCTCTACAACATGGTACCTGAAGCAAGGCAAAAGACTTCTTGGGAAGAGAGACATTAACGATCAAACAGTGCATACATACTTTTGGGACACCCTGTATTTCGTATCTAATCGTCTAGTACTGTACAAATTTTTAGATCATGTGGAAGAATCTTTTAGTGCAATTCTTTTTGACTGACATCATTTTTGCTCCGTCACATATGGGTTTTATCAAGACTTTTTTTTTAATGACGTCCTGAGACTAGACAAGTTTCCTCCGAGTTACGTATAGATTGCAGCTTGCTAACTGTCACTAAGAATATCAGAAGCAGATATCATATAAATCACAAGTCACTGACCGTTCGACATGTTCAAGATCCGCGAACGGAATCTAGAGGTTTTTCAGTGTGAAAATCGACTGGTGTGACATACACCCTGACTGACTCAAAAAAGGTAGTCAAATGGTTTGCGAAAATGCAAGATTTTTCGCATACAATGTCCTCATTGCGAACTATAAAAAAGCCGTATTCATATCCAAAACAAAAAGCATCCTTCAACCAAATATATGGAGACTGTGCCAAAATCTAATCTCAATTCCCTGATGCAGTTGTTCGCGAATTTGTCGGAACTTATTGCTTTTACATTTGTATGGTTATTCAGTAAAGAGGACGTCTTGATTTGTTTGAAGCAAAAACCAATCAAGACCTACCGAACGATGCCAAGATTTATCGGGCAGATTCGTAAAGAAGGCGATAAATCTTTATACGAAAACTCATAGAAATCTTAACAGTTCACGGAAAAATATCACAAGGCGTTTCCTCAGAAGTAGGCGTTATAGGCATGAGTGTTGTTGAACTGAAATACGAGTAATCAATAGTCGGCGATTTTTCGTTTTGTTATTTTTACAGAATCAAAAAACATATTTCTGAAATCATGTTTCATTTCAAAAATTTCGCTTTTATTGTGATAGTTTCCTCAACTAAAGAGGCATACAATTTTCTGGGCATTTCTACGGTCTGCGCAGCGACGATAGCGAGCGTGATTATGCCTAGAGGATATGTTCGAGACGCTTGGCATGTCCGAGTGAGGCGGTCGAGACGAAACTAGCCGCAGAAGCTGTGACAGTGACACTGAAACAGTCTATATTACCTACCACAGGTGGTTGGTAGTTGTCAGTTCCGTACGCACTGTATCCGCTATGACCGTAATCGCGATGAGCATTCCAATCTGTAAAATTGACGGAGCAATTGTAAGTATTCCAGTAATTGTATGCACTTACCAACACCGAAGGCGAATCCGGTGAACTCAATCTTTTCGACTTTGACGTCTCCTTTCAAGCCAACTCCCTGGACCGATTCCATTGGGAAACGGTGAGTGTAGTCAGCAAGATGATGACCATTTACGCTGATCTAAACATCTACGCTGTATCTTTTCATGCCTATAATATTCTATGAAAATTACTTCATAATGGCTTTGATGTACACTGATATGCAGATGGAAATGATTACCATGGTGAAGGGGATTTTTGTGTTTTACCTAAATTTTTACATTTTTTCTCAATATTTACTTAACTTAACAAATCGCTTTACCTCAGTGCCCCAGGCTCCATGGCTCGCCGAGTTCATGACAACCTCGTGTGTGTGACGAAAACGGAAATTGACATGAAGTACAATGTGAGGCCCTGAGACGAGCTCAACAGCAAAATTTCTGAATTTTTTTTCATTGAAGCAAGTAGAGAGTTTCAAAAAAGATTTCTCACTTGTGATGTCCATGTTCAACTACTCCGTGAACATCGATAACACATCCAGGATGGAGCTGCTCGTGAATAGGGATTACGCTGGGAACAATCTGAAAAGCTAACAATCTGAAATGCCAAGAAATATGAGAACTTCAGGAACGTTATTTTTCGGTTTCTTTTTTGGTGGATTAATCGCTTTTTAGGAATTTGCATAACATCTCTGAGCCTTTTTTCTTAAAAAAAGGCAGAATGACCTAGGAGATGGAAGCAATTCGGATAGTTCAATAAATCTTCTTAGAGGTTTACGGATTTCAATACTTTCTTAGCATTTAGGGGATTGTGTGAAGGACCAGTTGTCAAGGCCTGTAATAATCACAGAATCTCGTTCATTCGATGATTCCATAGATTAGGTCACTGAAATTATCTTAGAACTTAGCGTTCGATTATGGTGGGGGGGGACCTTGAGTAACCAACAAGACACACGATTTCCACCTCATTTTAGGAGAAATACGTCTGGTGAAACCATCACTTCATTTCCATCCAAAGGTTCCTATATTAAATAATTTTCAATGAAGAAATATATGAATGGCAAATTTGACTTAGTAAGACTGAATAAACTTGTAGACTGTATTTTACTCGGGATAGGATCATACTATTGTAACTTTAAAATCAATTCGATGGAAACACCTTGCAGTTTGCCAAATGCTTGGCAACCGGATACTTGCGGCATCGCTCAAACTGACCGATGCCCAACAAAAAAGGTTTCCGACATAAACAGGACATTCCTTAGAAACAACAAATCTTACCGGAGAGTGTACGTTGTGCATGTCGGTCGCGAAGTGATATCTCTTCACGCTGTTGGCACTGCCGCCTTGATTAAATACTCGCTGATCGCTGAATCAGCATTTGCTCGAGCGCCTGAGTGACGAAGGAAAAGGCGTTTCGTTGCTACCAAGTCATCGCTCCGAAAAGGAAACTTTGATCATAGATCATGCCTTATGGATCATCGAACCTTGAGAACCCAGCTACGACTTTTTTCTGGAAAATAAGCACTTCAAGCAGGGTTCAGCAGTGAAATATGAATGTACACTCAGAATAATCTAGGTAATAAGGAGAATGGTAAAGATAACGACGAGGTATGACAAGAAAAATCCGCAAATACAAGGATTGAAGGGTTTCTTTTCGTATATCGTTGGCTGCCCAAAACCCCTGTCCTTCACATCTTACAGAATATTCATGAAGTTTGCATTGGTGAAAAACGACATTCCAAAAATTTCCACTATGACGTAAATGTTCACTCAAGTTTAGCTTCCTCCTGCAACTCAGTACTTATTCTTTCTATCTGTGATCGCTTCGGTTACGAAGTGTGTCTACGCTGTCTGTGGTTGGTTATTCTCTGAAATTTTTTTTATCTCCGCCCTTAACAAATTTGTTACAGAAGATGGATAAACTTACCGGACAGAGAACGGTCCATGGGGATTGGGACTATGATAGTTAAAATTTCGATATTCGTTGAGTACGATGATATATTTGCTCTGTAATAACAATATAATTGCTACGATACCATGACGATCATAGAAATACAACGGCAAATTTCGGAACTCAAAAATTTTTTAAATAGAAAGATTTCTTTCCAAATGTGTAATACTCTTTGCTGTGTGGATTCGCATGGTGACACAAAGAAGTTCTGCACGGTATGAAGAAGAACCACTGTTCGCCACAGATATATGTAATTGAAAAAAGCGCATGTCTACCGTACAGAGCAAAGATTGTAGTCTCACAAAAATTCATCAGAGCTTGAAAGATTCCAAGTCTTTGGCAGTTGCATCCCACTGCTGCCTCTGGTCATTGATAAGTTTCTTTCAAAACATAGACTGGAAAGACTTCCCTTCGAAAGATTTCCATTGCTTGACTCACTCTTGATGTTGTATGGTCTAATTTTGGTCCGAATGGCTGATAAGCGTGTTGCTTGGCATTTGATAACACTTTGGCTTACCAAGAATCAGTCAGCGTGCTCATTCAATGCGAAAGAAACTCATGGCTCCTCAAATGAAAAATCATAAGCTATCGATCACGGACTGCTTGAGGACTACAAGGAACCAGTACTGATAAAAACCTTGAATCGTGGCTCACGCGGTATTTTCTCTTAAAAATTTCAAAACATCCAACATTTTATTGTTACGATTCTACTTGTTATTACATTCATAACAGGTTTTATTAGGTTATTTCGTGAGCGTACAGCAATTAGGATTTTCGATCACTTCTGCTGAGTGGCGCACCCAGAATTTCCGTTCGGGGAAGGGTTCAAAAATTGTTGATTTTTTATAAGGCTAAATTGAGTTTTTAAAAAAATTTTTAAAATTATTTTAGTTATTTAAGAATATAAACAAGTCATTTGCGCGTTGTTATAATCCATGTAAGTAACTTTCAGAAATTTCGCGACCCATTCTCGAGGGGGGAGGCACCCCTTCCCTCCGCTCGCCCCCTCGGTACGCCACTGCTTCTGCTATATCAAATAGCACATGAGCTTGCATATAAGATCGGCAAAATCATAAATATGCATATTTGTTTGACAGTGAAAAAATATTTGTGGCACTGCCCAGAAACAACCATCAGTTGCACTAGAAAAGCGAGAAGGAGACAAGATTAGAGTGATATACAGTTGACAAGAGAGCTTCTCTTTGAGCAATGGCGGTGCGAGCAATTTCATTCGAGGGCGCGACGAAAATGTTTTTCCGAATAAAATAATGACGCCCTCCGGAATTTGATGCTTCCAAATTTTGGTGGGGCCTTCAAGTTGACCTCATTGAAAAAGGACTTGACGGCTGCCACACAGCAAAGCTTTTTTCTCATACCTAACTTGGTTATTTGAAATTTCCGAAAATGAGTTTAATATACAAGTGAAAACAACTCATTCGCACTCTATAATCCATTAGGTAACTTTCGAAACGATCCCACCGCCTCGGCTCCATGGACGAACTCATTTTATTGAAATGTTACTTTGAGTAGCAGGCTCTTCTTCTTTAGAATAAAAAAGAGCCGTGAAATTCAAAGGGTGTTCAAGCCAGCTTACATAAGAGTTACAAAAATCAACTATGATATCACTCTGATAGCTCTTTGTGGCCATCGCATACGCAAACTAGAAGCTCTACAAGATAACATCCTTTCTGTGCGTTCTTTTCAATTTTTGTCTTTGTCAAGACTTCGATAGCAAGAATGAGGGATCTGCAACTTCTTATTGGATACCCTACGTCTTAATATTAGTTTGGTGCAAAAGAATGGCTGATTTTCCAAGCCTCCCTTCAGGGCAACTTTTTTCCCTCAGAATATCTTCTTTGAAATGCATATGGCATACACTGAGAAGCTGTTCTCATGCTCCATCTGAGGATTATTGAAGCAGGCTTCTATCCTTATCTTTAAAAAGTTACTGGGCTTCAATTAACTGCATCCAAATTCAGAATTTCATTGGCTTCACTTTCCTGCCCAGAAATCAAGCTCATATCAATGACATTTCTTCGAAAATTTAGCTATTGTATGTAATAGAAATTGTCTACATTATGGATACTTAACTATATTCTTTGAAGCTATTCAGACTGAGATATCGGGGTAGAAAAAATGGGTAGCTGTTGCAGTCATTTTACAATCCATAGTTTTCTTCTGAATTTTCTTTATCAATTGCCGAAGCTTTGCTCAATTCTGTAAGCGTAAGGCTAGGGCATCCTGTTAGCAGTTTTTGGAAAGACATCCAGCTGTTCAATACGTAGAAAATTAGAAAATTCTATATTCGGGACTTTAAGAGCACGCTGAAAAAATGTTGAAAAAACTGAGAAATTTTAAACTTTAATTTTTCTCTTTCTCGCAAATTTTTTATCCGAATTCTTTTTATTGTGTTTTGTACTACTGGCTTGCAGCTACAAGATAGGCCACTTGTCATTCATACAAACAAACTTTGAAGGAAGTTATGAATTGTCAAAAACAAGGTTCTAACAGAAAAACCTTTTAGTCCGTATTTCTCTTCCCGTTTATGGTGTGAGTATAGTGAGTATGCGCTGTATTGCGAAAGGTTTGCTGCTTCTGAAGGTTTTTACCGCAATCAGAAATGTGGATATTTTAGAAAGTTATGGCACGTCAAAGCGAGAATTCGCAAATCGGCCATTATTTTTGCACCAACCTAATAGATCCTGTCTACAATTTTCAATGTTCTCATCAATGCATGAATAAGTACAAAATTAAAGTCATTGGACCCGTAGAAGCTGAAGCGGTTGCTATATTCTGCTACAGACATATTAAGCACGTATTGCAGTAAAGTAATAAAGTAAATTGCTCTCATTTATATACACAGGTATAATAAAAGTTGGTGAAATCTTTATCTATGGGTTCACTGGGATTTGTGGGTTGCAACAGCATTCAATATGGATTGTAGTGATTTCCGTGTCCGGGAGCATACTGAAAAACTTATTTGCTTTTTTACCCTCACATGATCAACAAAAAACTTACGGCTGGGGGAACATAAGACGTTGCACCGTATCCAATGAAACCTCCGTGTCCATATTCAGGTCTTGAGTTCCAGTCTAGAAATGAATGGAGTCCACAGTATAATCAATCTTTCATCGCATGAGAGGAACCTCTGTGGAAATGGAAACCGCTGAAGTTGATTTTCTCTATGTATACGTCTCCTTTCAAGCCGATGGCTTGTACGGATTCGACTGGAAAACGATGATGGAAGGCAGCAAGATGATGACCATTAACTTCGATCTGAAGACGGCCAAATTTCTTCCTGTTATTTGTCTGAGAAGGTTTGCACTCACATCAAGATGAGAGTGCTTGACGTGGATGTGAAGATGGAAGTGCTGATCGTGATGGAGGGGATTTCTGTGACGAACCTAAAATGGTCCTCGAATTTCAAACCTTCAAAAGCAGATTTTCGGATTAGATTTTGTCCAAAACCAGAAAAGCTCTGCGAAACTTCTCTGATCTGTAGTGACTGACTACAAAACTTTTGAAAATAGAATGCTGCATCAAAAAAAGGTTCTACGAAAGGCAAAAGACTAGTTTGAGTTTCATAGTAAATTTGAGCATTCGAAGTTTTTTTGTCTTATATCACGTGTTAATTGTCTTGCATATTCCTCAAACTTGAAAGTCAAGTGCACTGCACACCACGCGCAACAACCGGCGACTTTGTACTAGCAGATAGCCAATTCACAAGATTATATCACCTTTGGCTCCTTTAAACGTGATCTCTATGGAATCAGATGCAAGGGTCACTTCATCAGTTTGTAGGTTGAACAGGTTTTCACTTACTGCTTACAAAGAAATTGTGGGTGCCATGCGTGATGTGCAACCCCACACATCCCATAAATGACTAGACTCCGGCTTGGCAGCTCTAATTTTAGCATTTACGAACATCACTTCCACTACGCACACGCCAATCGGTTCGATTATGCACTCGTCACGCAGATCCAACACAAATGTCAACAGAATAGTTTGCTTAAGTCTTCCTAATGTCAACAAATGCTATCAGACCTCTGGTCCCCAAACTCCGTGGCTGCATGAGTTCATCACAACCTCATGTTCATGATGGAAGCGGAAGTTCACGTGAAGTACAATGTGTGGTCCAGAAAGTAGTTCAACGGCGAAGTTTCTGGAATTGCTTACATAGAAAGGCGTTCAAGAGTTGCCTTGCAGAAACATAAAAATCAGCTGTTCGAACAGTTAGCTTTACTTGTGATGTCCATGGACAACGTGACCGTGCACGTCAATTTTGCAACCATCTCTCAGTGGCTCGTGAATTGGTATAGCACTAGGAACAGGCTGAAAGTTTGATAACCTGGTGCTTGTTTTTAAAAAAACCAACTCAGCAAAACATACGGGGTTCGAGACGAGATGCATGGTTGCGGAATGTCGCAAGGATGCGTCCTTATTTAGTATCGTGAAGCTTTTATATGGCGATACCAACTTGATGACTCAAGGTGATAAGCAAGCTCGTACGATGCCGGGACTACGCTCAGATCACCGGTCAAATAAAAAGAGCAAAAGCTGTTTCACAATTCAAATTCACCTCCTCCAGTGCTACAAAAATTCGACGAGAAGGTTTGCAGTAAGACCGATAGGCGCTAATCCAATGTCTAAACCCTAGTTCGCAATTCGTATATTTTGATTTGATATAGGGGTTATTTGACAGGCTGTTACTATCGCTTTTCACAAGTTTTTGCCCTTTTATAAAGCTACAGTACATATGGATTCAAAATAGGTAGATTTGGCCGAAGTTTGATGTAAAGGGTCATTTTCGCATGTGTTTGAAATACCATACTCTTTCCTCTTGTCATCCTGCGTGATTATAACTGCCGTAGACCGCCTAAACCGACATGATTAGATTCGGCTGCGAAGAATCACTCGGTATGCCATGCCTGCAAATTCTGTGGTTATGATCCCCTATTGTATACCCATCGTAGCTTTCACGAAAAGATCCCTTTCTGACTCTTCTTCTGGTTTGGAAAAAAATTGCAGAAGAAGTGCTAGAGGCTTTGCAGTCTTTGTCTTAGCGTGCACATCAAAAAATGCCATAACCTCTTCTCCTCATTATCAACTTCTATCTTGACTATACACCACTTTTCATCCTAGCGGCCAAACTATACAGCGTAGTCCCTTTGGTCCCTACACGACCACTCCCCCCCCCTCCCCCAGCCCCCTTCACCCCGGGAGTTTAGAGATCTCATCTACTAGTGTCGAAACGGAAGAAGGTCATGGCCTAGTTGTGCTGTATATATATGCACTGCATTTGCTGCATTTGAAAGGATGAGAGGGAGCGGTTACGCTGAAACTAATTTAGTGCGAATAGTGATCAACTATTCTAAGATAGCATCCACGGTTGACTGGGCGACAGTCATGATTGCAGCAGCGGCCTGTTATCTTATGTTAGCACACCCGGAGCTGATGAAACAAGCATCGTTGCTTCAAGCAGTAAAGAGTTAGCTAAATTCTAAGCATAAAGGGAGTAGCTTACAAACAAATTTCATTTAGCCTACTTTAAAAAGAGAAATTGATCCTTTTCGTCAGCTGAGGGGCGAATCGCGCAGTTGCTTTTGTCTGGCCAGTCTTGTGCAAATGCGCTCAATTTTTGAACTTTAAGCGAGTTTTTATGGTACTTTTCGTAGTTTTCTGCTTTCCCATTTATAATGGTGATTCTACTGTCACCGGGTTACTCGCTAGAAGAGAACGCGACGGCTTCAAGTGTATTTTCATCATTGGCATGAAAAACATGAATAACAAAGCATATTAGAAAAGAACGAAGTTGGAATGAGCAGACGATTTCCTCCAACGGTTGTTCCAATCGTGGTGCGAAATTCGGTCGTCATGCTAAATCATACAGACTATTGAACAGAACGGAGCTAAGCTAATGTATTAGGTTGTCCCGAAAGTTTTGTCCGTTTTTCAAACCACTATAAAACCACGCACTATAAAGCCCTGAATGAGTTTCAGCATTCATTCGATGCAGCTCTTCCTTCCCTTTCTTATAGATATATTTGCGAACGAAAACCTTGCATACTTCTTTTTAATAATTGCCAAAATTCCCAACCCGTCAATTTTATCTGCTCCAAGTTAGGCTAATTTTCAGCAATTTCATTCCAAAGTTTGGGAAAGGTTCAAGTATGCATCAAATACAGCAATTCTCGGACTACAGGGTAATATGTTTAGATTTTTTTAAACTGCTGTCTTTGGTTTCAAAAAATTATTTCTTTTGAGGTCTTAATTTTTGGCTAAGTCATGAAACACGCAATTGCAGCAAATATAAGAAAGCTTTTGAAGTTCCTGCGAATTGAGACATGATCCTTATTGAACATTATTTATGCAACAAACCAAGTTTAATCTGCTTTGAAAAAGTAGCTTTTTGGAATTCTTGGTACTTTTACGTGGTAAACGTAATCAAAAAGCCACGGTTTTTATTAAATATAGTTATAACGGACTTGGTAAACGTGGATCATGTAATCTAAAATAGGTGCAATGTAGGCAAAGGTTTGCTCTACCTAACAGCTACCAGCGCTCGTCAAAAACATTAGGAAAAAGGTTTTCAAAGTCCAGGAAAGATTTGGCGTTACTGCTGCGCTGCTCAAAAAGCCATGGCGATAACAGCAAAGACAAAGTAGATCAGAGAGCAAATATAGCTGTAAGAAAGAGGATAAAAATCTGAGTCATGTGGTACCTAAGTCGTCTATGGACATATATTCTGTGAATTTTAGTAAGCGGTGAAAAAAACGGACAAAACTTTCGGGACAGCCTAATATTATGGCATTAGCTAAGTGCTAATCTAGCTAATTTGGGGAATTTGCGTATTTCTATGTTTTCACTACTGAAGGCTCTATTTACCGCTAGATACCGCCCAATGGCGCATAATCTTCTCAACAGTTGGCTCATCCACCGATCTTACCGTTATCGGCGATTCTGGAAAACAAAGCTGTCTCCGTGTTACACACTAACACTAACATCTATAGTTTCGAATTTATCGAAGCTGAAGTGCTCTGCGCTGAAACATCGTCATCTCACATTTAGCTCAATATATGAGGCTGGTTCGAAAGCGTTGAATTGAGAATTCAGGAACTCAAATGAGGTGTAAAAGCGCGATGTAAGGTCTATTACCAGAAAAAGGCGAGCTTCCTATGGAGGCGAAGCGGTTTGAGCGCGGTGCCTGGGGTATACACCAAAGTCGCGTTCGCGTCGGCTTCGCTTCCGTACGAGGTTTGCCTTCATCCACCAAGAGACCTTACATGGTGTATTCTTTGTTGTATATAGTGCTTGTTTTTGATACGCACGTTGTCACCTTTGCTTGGAACAACTAAATGAGTGAATTTTGAAAATCGTTTCGCGTAGGGAAATTGATCTACAAAGTTCTTTAGAAAAGTGAGTTAGTTATCTATTTTGGTGTCGACGCAGGGTTTCGATCGTGCGACTTGTTTTGAAGTTCAACAATTCCAATGTTTTTTTTTTCGACGCCACAACATTCCAATAATTAATGTTGCTTCAAACACAGGCATAAAGTTCATAATTTTTACAAAATAAGAGAATGAAACAAAGTCGGACAACGATGATTATAAATTATAAAACGGAAATTGGATGTACTTTAGTTTTTTCTTTTTATTTTTATTATAAAAGAGATCTGGATCAACTCAGTAACTGGTAAAGCAAAAGTCTTCTTTGCGGAAATAACAAAAAGTGCAGCGTATAAATTTGGAAAATAGTGAGTAACGTTGCAAAAAGTCTTTGTAATTGTTAAAAAAATGAGCAACTCACCACATGCGTTAGATAATCCCACAAAATCTATAATCTTGATATTAACATATTTCGAGATTGCTAAACATTGCGCCAGTCGCGTCGGATAGCGATGCGGGAATTCGGCTATAAACTTGCCATTTAGCAATACCTAAAATTGCACGGATGAATGAATGAAAGTGCATGTCCAAACAAAGTGCCGGTCTGTTTTGTATGCTACAGGAAAACCACTTGGATGACTGACTGGTCGAAGTACAAAAGTATAGTGAGAAGGTTTTTTGCTGCTGGGTGCGATTGAACAATCTTCAGTATGCTGACAATAGAACGGCGACTTTCAAAAAACACATGAAATGTAAATGTTTAGTTCAAGCAACTGAGAAAATTGAATAGAAGTACGAGAAAACCAATCTGTGGGCCCAAAAACCTCATCCTGGAAGATGTGCAGTTGCAGACATTACCAAAGGGGCTCTCGACTATGTATGAACACTGGTAGCGGTGGCGGACAGTTCATTGAGGTAACTGTATCTCGAAGAAGATTTTTGACAAAGTCCTTATTTTCGTAACAGAAGCTCTTGCATAACGCAGTGATTCTTGTCAAAGAATAAGAAAACTTGGATTCATGTAGCAAATTTTTACAGACAAATTCAGATCCTCATCAAACTATACTATCTGTGGTATGATTGTGAAACTGAGGGGACTTTTGGATTTGACTACATTATGCGTCATGCAGTAATTTATTGCCAATTCTACTTTGTATATTCCAAATTGGACTTATGTGAAGCATTCAAATAAAATCAAATCGGAAATAATTATGCCATTTTCATAACAAGGGTACTTTTCCGTTAACCGGACCCATTTTTCCAAAGGCTCCCATAAAATGCGTTCTATAGTCTAACAAGGGAACGATACTTGGTGTCCGTGGCCTTTTGAGATGAGATGCATACCATTACACTCGTCTTGGAGCGCTGATTCCGATTCTGACTTCGGTTTTTGCTAATCGTTTCTCGGAAAAAAGTTATGGAGGATTTTCGCGCCAAAGGAGATGTAGTCGAAATGTCAAAACCGCCGCTGAGATGTGGTGTAGTGGCTAATGCGATAGCCTCGCAAGTTAATGCAGGTTAAGTCTCGAGTCCTTTTGTGTTTCTAGGTTTTGCATTGCCTCAATCAAGCTTCTTTTGAAAGTTAGGCATCCGCGACCGTATTTCTTTCAGGCGACCATTGACGCAAAAATTCTTCATAACTTCTTCTAGAGAAACGATTAGCAGAAACGGAAGTCAGATTCGGAATCAGCGTCCCAAGACGAATGTGGTAGTATACATTTCATCTCAAAAGGCCACGGACACCAAGTATCGTTTCCTTGTAAGAACAATTTTTTGAAGCCACGAGGACTGCTTCCTGCTATGTGCTAGGAAAATATTGACACGTTTGGTCCATTGGACATGTTTTTTTCGAAATCATTTCCGGTGAGGTAAAAGGACATTTGCAATCAACTAAAAGCTGTTCAATTGTTTTCTATAAGACAAAACAATCTAGAGATTGTATTAGAACATCCTCACCGTTTTCAGCAATGATTCATCATTGCCTTTCTCTTCAAACTTTTCGCCTTGCGAATTTAGCAAGACGAGACTATAATGGCTTGTAGTTCCTCGCTAGTACTTGTGGGCAAGTCTAATCTGTTTATTAATAGCAGAATGACGTTACTATGATAACAGTGTTCATTTTTGATACTGTTCAATCAAAATGGGGCCACTATTGGCAAAAAAACAGATTGAACTTACGTCGCTAGGTAGGTTAACTCAACCTTTAGGTTAAACCTGTTAAACATGTGAGTAACATGTCAAATTTTATTGACACGTGGCAGGAAGGTTGGCACTCTTGAAGTTGAGACAAAACATGGTACGAAAGAAGAAGCAATATAATTTTTCAAAACAATGGGTCTGGGTAACAGGAAAGGATCCAGTAGCGTAGTATTAAAAACAGAATGGTTCCTGAGACGTTGTGGCAAACATTTCTATTGATCTTCCGTCGTTTTTTTCTACTGTTTGACGGCGCAATGTGTTATCTATATATGTATGCCTCAACTTAAATCAATCAAACGCATGACATACTCAATAATTCAGGGTCATATGAACAGCAAAAGGAGACTTCAAGGGTTTTTTTTGCTATATCTCCAACTTAATTTCATTTTGTTCATTTTTGTTGAGAGGCACAAACCTTGACGTTCTCACCTCATAATAAGAGTCACGGACGTGCACAGTCAAACGAAATTTCTGTCCACCGTAGAGAGGATTACCAACTTGTACCTGAAGGTGAGGTCCGCAATGTGAATTTCGAAAACGTGGTTATAAATTTTGAGTTCAAGCTAGTTCGGACCGGACCCTTGATATGAAGCAATGGTGATTTCCGTCAATGGGGTTCCTTAACTTACAGTATCATTGCCTTCCATACTGCTGCTGCATGATCGAAGAATTATAGCCTTGGTGAGGCCGAAACAGAATTCGACATTCAACAGCGAATGAGGTCCGCTAATGATTTCGATGAAAAATTTTCTGCAAACAAAGAATTTTCCACGAACACAATAAAAACGGACAACTTTTTGACATAATTCGCAACCCAAAAAACGCCCACTTACTTCTCAGGACTGCATACTTCAGCTCGAATATCTATCGTGGAATTACTTTGTAGTTCCTCGTAAAAGGGCAGCACTAGCGGTGTGTCCTTAATTCACAGCAGTTATCGAGCACACGAAACACAACACCACAGTTTCCATCTATGCTTACAGGAGCTGTGTACGTATGCATGCCGATGATTTGGTAAACAATTGAGCAGGAATGCGCTCAGTGCGTGGAAATAACTGCTGATAAGGGTCAAGATTCAGCGATTCGTATGGCCCGTGACTGGTGAGAAGTGCGCCAATAACACTCGATGAATTTCACATTTACGACCTGCATTGACAGCGATTTTTTCGCGCGACGAATTCTTTGAAGTACCTTTTTGATCCGTACAAATGGCATTCTGCTTGTTGTGGTATATACTGCAGTTCTTAGTCTCATATATGGTATATAAAAACAATCCTCATTCGTCATAATCACAATCGCTTTGCATACAGCCTTCTCACATAGACGGCACAAGAGTGTAGCTGTTGTCAAGAAGGGAATGCTACTTTAACACATTGACGACCGAGCCATTTTTGACCACATCAATGGACTGATGATCTACGGCTGCGGTTTAAACTGTTTAACAGCTACCGCAATCCCGTGTGTTCCATATGACAACCGGCCACCAGTGTTATATATCACAGCATAGAAGTTATCTGAGAACTTTTCTTTACATATGATAAATTGACGCACGAAAGTGCTAAAAGGTGGTCACACACGTCTTCAAGGTCTTAAGCTACCAAAGAAGCCTTCAAAAAAAGTTACATTGGCTAGAAAATTACCTGAAGTTATCGCTATCTCGTCATGATGATCTGGAATGAGATATAGCACCAATGTGATAACCATGAACTTAGTCTCGTAATTTCAGACGGCCCCTAATCAGGCATCAACTTTGTCTCGATCAGATCTTGCACAAGCAGTAAATGTAGTTACAATACTCAGGAAAAAGTGCCATTGCGAACGCTGTCGGCGTCCTTCCGTCTTAATCAACGTCTGTCTCCTTTTCTGTATATAAAATGTCTCGGTATGCAACACGTTCCATCTCCAAAGCTTTCAACCCGCCTGTACGTCTTGAACGAAACTGTAGTAAAGCGAGCAAACCTCGGACTCGGTAACATATAGAGAACTGCCGTTAACAACTGCAGATATATTTTGCTAATCATTAAATATATCTTCAGCATCTATGACACTTTGTTTCCTAAGAATTCGCAGTCATCGCTTTAGCGCGTTCAAAATATGGTGTGAGTTCGGTTCTTTCTAATTTGGGGATCTGTACGTTCTTTGATTCTTTACGCATTTGTTTCATTCTTTCAAAAAGAGGAAATCATGCGCCTTACAGCATATCATGGTAGCCTAGGGCGTCAAATGTCGAAGTGGAAGAAGATAGCTGCTTGAATTTCAATTCCTAAGTCAAGGGGTCATAGAACTAGAGATAATACACCTAATTTCCAATGTCAGCTCCAAGCCAATCAAAAAGTTGTTTTGCAAAACTTGTCTGGCCTTCGCCTCACCACAGTATACAAAGCAGTGGACATACTATGAAAGCAATAACTTCTTGTCTTAAATGCAAGATAGCAATCAAACAAAACACTTGAAAGCTTCAAAAGTTAACCTAGCTGTCAGTGTGGAGCTCAACTGTGAATCCAAGTTCGTGTATTGCAGCATCTAGGTATAGGGCATTCGAAAAATCGTGACGATGGGGCGACCGCGCGCGACATGTACGCACTTCCATTTCCTGGTTTCGATCTCTAGTCGGATGGTTTTTCTGCTTACATGTGATGGTATTCAAACACTGGAAGTGATTGAGCTGAACGTTGAGGTGATGCCTGGTTGTATGGGTGTTTTGTACTCCTGTGTGCGCAAAGACCGCAGTCAACCCGTCGTCACGATTTTACAAATGAACCATAGTTAAAGTCGTCTTGGAGCCTATCAGTGATTTCTCCAACTTTCAGCAAACTTTCAGCAGTGTTACCAACCCAATGCAATTGATCTATAATTTCGGATGTTGAGGAGCTGATATGAAGGTTTTGATTTTGTTGGTAGTCTATTCGCATGATTACGGTGGGTGTACGATAATGGATCGAACCGCGGTTCATTGGAATTTGCATAGAGCGTTATTAGACCTGACCGCGAACAATCAGCTCAGACGGGAACGCTTACCGTAGAGTCATGGTAGATATGCGGTAAGATGTTCGATCGCAACCTTACAAAAAGTTGTTACAGTAGCGAACAAGTCGATACCCGTGGTCAGCATGGAAACAAGCTCCTAGCTAATCAAAGCGAATTCCTTTATTCCCTACGTAAGTCTACAATCCCAAAGAAATACCCATTACACGCATTGGATATCATTTTCATATAGAAAACCAAAAGCTTTCTATGCAGAGCAAGCGAAAGCCGACATTTTGAAGCCTTGGTAATATACTGCTGAATGGCACTCCGAACTCGTTCAGGCAATGTTCGCAGTGGCTGAAACTCGTAGAAAGTCAAATTATTGTTTTTTTGCAAGAACTCGAGACAGGTTGACATTATACAGGGTGTCCCAAAAAAATGTATCGAACGTTTGATCGTTAATATCTCTCTTCCCAAGAAGTCTTTTGCCTTGCTCCAAGTACCGTTTTGTAGAGCTGGCTTCAACTTAGATTTGCAGTATAGAACGAATCACCCATCTCTCTTCATTATTGTAGGATTACGGTAGAAACTTCAAAGAGGATTTTGGGCCATGAAAGGCCATATTTTCCCTTAGAAAAAAGAGAAAACAGCCTGAAAACTTTCACGCTAGGCTAATTAGAGTTGCTGATTCTAACTGTAAAGTTCCCAACTTATTATGATGCTTCGTTGAAGAGTTATGCCAGGTAAGAGGTAGCGGCCATTTTTTCAATGTTCCTAAAAAGTGCGGTTACACCGTTTAAAAGGCTTCGTAATCTCGTGAATAGTTGAGTATTAAACTCAGCGTCCATAAAAACCCTATTACGCAAGTTTTCACATTTTTATGAAAAATTTTGAAACTGCAGCTTTTTCCACATTGACACCACATGTTTCAAGTTTCTACCGTAATCCTACAGTAATGAAGAGAGATGGGTGATTCGTTTTATAGTGCAAATCTAAGTTGAAGCCAGCTCTACAAAATGGTACTTGAGGCAAGGCAAAAGACTTCTTGGGAAGAGAGATATTAACGATCAAACGTTCGATACATTTTTTTTTGGGACACCCTGTATAATCAGCTGCGGTTGTGTTGAAAGGTCAAGGGAATGTGCTATATTGGACATCTTCTAATAATGTAGTCATATGTCTCTACTTATGTAAAATTTGTAAAATTTGTGTGAGAGTGTTTAGAAAGCTCTCACTTGCTCATACAATATAGGACGTTTTTGAGGTACAAATGACGGATGTACATCGTTGGATGCAAACTCGCTCCAATGCAAACGCCAACGTTGCGACTCAAGCGTCTGCGACTTTCCTGCCAAGTTTTCCACGCCACTAATTCCTCAAATATCTCACCTGTAGTACATAATCTTGCTTCTGAGGCAGTTCGTGTTAAAGGCATTCATCGGGCTATCAGTCATAGAGTAGTTTACTGCTGTTTTGGTTGAGATATGTCTCTCCATTACTGATGTATTATTTTTATTACAGGGGATGCTTTGAAGAAAGTAATGAGTCTATCTTGGGCGAATCAGTTTGCAAAAACTGCGCTAAAAACTGCTCAACAGAAGATCGATAGTGTTTTGGACATTCGACCTGGTGATGAGGTGTTAACTTCTGCTATAGAGGTTAGCGATTTATTTTTTCAGCGTTAATACTGGATTGAAATTTTCCTATGACAGTACTCACAAGGGAAGCGACTAGCCTTCAGGAATGAGACTTATTTGGAACCAACTCAAAAACGCTACTCTTTTGTCCTGGCCTCGGCGCAACATTCCGAAGAAAGCTATTGAATGTGCAAAATTTGTATGCCCGTCGGTTTACTGGCATTACGGTAGCATCATATGATACACGCGTTGAGTTCTTCTTGATGAAAAAAGACGTGATTGGCTATTTTTGTAAGCACTCTTCGAGCTAATTTCAATCCAAATGTTGCGCAGTATGCCATTTTCGCACAAAAAAACCCATAATTGCTTCACTATATTGCGCTGCAGCTAGACCATAGTTAGAATCCGTGTTTCAAGTTGATTCAAACTGAACATGTCTCTTCTGGAAAGTCAGTCTAAAATCGGTGCCTTGTCAGATATTATTTACAGCCCTCTGTAAGCGATGAATCGCTCCAAACGGCTGTGGCTCCTCTTGAAACGCCGGACGAGGTAGTTTTAACTTATTGGATTAGTGTTGCTATGATCAGCTGACTTGGTTTTCTTGTTTAGACCACAGCGCCAGCCCCTTCCTCTTCATCTACATTAGGCGAAGGATGGACAAATGCTTGGAACAGTCTCTCATCTGATCGTGAGGTATGCTGCCGCTTACGTTCAGGTTTCTTCTCACAGCCGATTCATTCCAGCTTGTTGTTGACTCTGAACCGAACCCCATCCGAGATGAGTGTCCACAGGCTTCTGCTACCTTGTTCGACCATTCGCCCTCATCAGTCTGTTCATTCCAAAAGATACCTCGCGTCAATATGATTTTTCTTATTATTTTAGAACTCGTCCGAAGGCACGAATAACGGACAGTCTCAGAAAGTTACTAGCTCAGATGAAAACAAAAGTGTGGGTTCTTATCTGTATTTTCTTCTTTTTTTTTGAGCAGTTTTCTGTTTCTTATTATCGTTATCTCTGTTTATAATCCTTGGTCATCACGTGTCAGGCCATGATTTTCCACAATTCCGATGACTGCTTTCCATCTTACCATCAACTTACAGCGAGTTTCTAGTTGTGTAACGGTGATGTGTGGCATGATCCGTGATCATCGCCAGGTTGCTGTTACTTTAGCCATTAAGCGCATTTGCATACCCACACTGCCTAAATTTGAAGCTGACACTCAAAAATCGCAGTTAAGCCGAAGTTTGCCGTCTTGAGCTTAGAATGCGATATAATCTGGTTCTCTTCCGATCAAGTATAGCCTTAGTTCACATTATGTCGAAGCACATCTGTTTGGGGGTCAATAATTAGAGTTCAAAAATTCGAATTTTCCTCTAATGCACAATATCAAGCACCAACTTGTGAGTGGCACAGTGATCAGTGTAGGCGTGTCAGGCGATTTGCTTGGTAAACTTTATGGATATCAGTTGCCAATCAGAATTCTTATGAGGAAGAAAATAAAAACGGTTTTTTTTGTATCTATCTCTCCAACTTCAGATTGAGGCAAGCAATGTTGAAGACTCTGTGTACGTTGATGTTGATCTTACTGTTCCCTCTCCTGATGAAAATCAATTTGCTTCTTCTTCCGAAACAATACAAGAAGAGAATACTGTACCGCGTAAGTCGCTTCCTGTCGAAAAAAATCATGGTCTCACCTCGAGCTTGCCATTGCCAGATATCGTGCTTCGAGGCTCTATCCAAGATGATTCGCTAACAGTCGCTTCCAGTGATATCGAAGTCATTCGTAATGTGGATGCATGGTATGCTTATAGTTCATCTTTCTCAACTGCTATTGCCTATTTGCCTTTCTTTACAGTTCTATCGCTAGTAGTAAACCAACTACAGATCATATGCCATTTCACTTCACTACGAAGGTGGTTTCTTATTTATTTGATTCTATCAATCAGTGCTGTTGTTTAGAGTGACTCTACTGAGTCGTTCCGTGCTCAGCTGCTCCATGCTGAGCAACGCAGGAATGAACTGAAAGCTGCTAATGACACTCTACAGTCAAACAACGCGCAACTTCAACAAAGAATAGTAGTTTTGAATCAACAGTTAGTTTATCTTTTTGTTTTCTTTCCATAGAATTTCATGGTTGCTGCCTAATGGGTAAGCTGTACCTTTCTTTTTGTTTTCACTTACTAACATGCTTTAGTTAGTACATATTATCTAATTACTACTTAGTACATATCATCTATTTACTGACTATGTGGTTAAAACAAGTTCATACATGTCCTTTCTAATCTAGGGATATGTTTTACCTGAAGCTAGAACGAATGAATGATTAGTCCGTCGTTGCATTCTTAAAATCTGTGTTCTGATGCTTTTTTTTCTATTGTGGGATCACTTTCGCGTTTGACATTTTTTGGAATTTTAAGTTTTAGTTTACATCTCTTGAGAAGGTCAACGTTGTTTTCGCCACTTCAGTTGATGTTCGATATGTAGCTGTTTAAGTAGAGGTACTGCTCAGCAGATTTTCCAGTTTTGGGTACAGCATTCGTGCAAGAGAACGATACTCGGTGTCCGTGGCCTTTTGACATGAGATGTATACCATTACACTCGTATGATTCCGAATCATTTCTCTGAAAAAAATTATAAAGGGTTTTCGCGCCAAGTTTGGCTTCCCAAGGGTAACAAAAGTTAGGGTACTTGTGGTGATTTCATGCCCTTACACTTCGATATTGTGGAAGAATGGGAAAATGGTCAGTATTTGCGCTAAAATGTGTCTATTGATCATACCGGGGGGTATTGGCGCTCCGATCTTATTTCCTCTGCGGCCAAACTCGGCACGAAAATCCTTCATAACTTTCTTTCAGAGAAACGATTAGCAGAGACGGAGGTCAGATTCGGAATCAACATTCAAAGGCGAGTATAATGGTATACATCTCATGTCAGAAGGCCACGGACACTTAGTATCGTTCCCTTGTTAGAGCGCAAATTCTGACAAGCCGTTGACTTATCTTGGAGATATGTCAGCAATTCTTCTTTCTGTACAATCCTAATACACTGAGAGGAGTTATATGAATTTGATACGTGCATATAACATGGTACAGCGTTTGGATGGACAAACAAATCAGTTTCATTGCTTTGCTTACGTGGCGCGTACTTGTAAATTCTGTGATTATGTACGCGCCTTTCTAGCATGTGAATTGTATTCTGCTCCTCTTTTCTATATCCCATTGTACTCCGAAATATAGTCTCCTAAACATGTGTTTTACAGACATGTTGCTTTGAAAAAGGAGCTAGATACCAAGAAAACGGAACTGGAAGATTTACTCGCTGAAGGTGAATCAAGAATATTGGTCGGTTGTTGGTATTCATCACTGTTTTAGGCAAGCGTCTATCTGACCACTCAGGCAAGCAGGCTCGTGAGATTAGACGATTGCGAAGCGAACTTACCGAGGTGGAGAAGGTAAAAGCGGAGAGAAAGCGGCTCAAGGAGGAGAAGCTCAGGGCCGAGGAAACGATCGAGCTTCAAAAGGAGGAAGTGGCATCTTTGAAAGGCGAGTCTTGCTAACCTGGTTTTATCACTAAGCATTTTCCTAAACAGCTGGAGGTTGTTTTCTTTATGAGTGCTTGATGCTTGAGATTGGTTTCATTGAGTGCTTATTTTTTAGGAATGATAAAACAGCTTGAAGGCAATGTTGAACAGCTCACAAAGGAGCAGTCTATGCGTGCTGCCACTTCCGAGGTATAGCTGCGTTTTCGCTATAATGCATGGTTATGTTGTATTTTAGGTGGCTCAAAAGCATGTGATTGAACAGAACAAACATGTTGCTGACTTAGAACAACAGTTAGATGAGGCACGCAGGCAGATTGATGATCTCACCACATACAACAGGGTATGTTCTAACCACTGCCTTTTATTGGCATTCTCCCACAAACTCATTGCAGAAGCTTGCAAAAGAGACCGAAATGATGCAGTCTGCGAATTGGTCTGAAAGGCTTGCTGGCGAACGAGCGAATGAAACAGCGGCAACAGTGAGCGCTGAGCTGGAAGAAGCACGTGCACACATACAACGACTGAATTCGCAGCTGCAGAGTACCGAAAGCGTATGATTATTTTCCGTTCTTTTCCAGCGATACGTAAATTACGTTTACAGCGTCTAGATTTTGTTTTGAATGAAAGAAACGACGTTGCTCAGTCCATCTCCCAAGGTATAGAGAATGAGTGTGATTTATTTTTGTTTTTTGGATTATGTCGCTTACAGCAAATATGCCACTGCTGGAGGAGATAAGTAATTTGAAGCAGGCACTTTATCGTGAACAACGAGCTAGTGAGGAAGCTGATATGAAGATGCGCACGAACAAAACGGAGCTTCAACTTGTTCGAGAGCAACTTCAAGAATTGAAAGACAAGGTGATGCTCATAGCATGTCTCAGATATTTTCGGTATCAGATGCATGTTGCAGTAGTAGCAAATAGAATCCTTACTGTTGGAAGTAGTTGCAATCTCCCCATCTGAAAACATTTCTGTAATGATTGCACTCTTATTGTCAATTAAATTCATGATTCTGTGCACCGCAAGTACACACATGATCGCAAGGACAAGTATAATTCATTTTATAGTCCGGAGTGAGCTTTTCATGAGAGCAGAGTTAGTCAGATGGTTAGTGCTCTACGTAACATTGCCATGCTGGTCACGGGTTCGATTTTACCCTGAGCCTAATTTCTGCGGCAAAAGCTCTGCTCACAGTTCTAGCGTCAGGCTGCCCTTTTAAAGAAGGGCTTGCGACAAGCCTGCTGAGAAACACCCCGTCGCATCATAAATGCAGACATATCACATAAAGTATCTCGAGTAAAGGTTAGGGCGTCCCCCGGAAGCGACGCGCATTCGAGCTCGACGAATGCGAATAGTGGGCGAGGGTTACCGTCTCAGCAAGGTGAACGGAGACGGCTAAAGCGGCTAGTTCACCAGAGGCAACGAACCAAGGCATCGCAGGCTCTCCGTCTAGCTACCATTAGTATGCGTACACTCACCTCTCGTTCTCGTGAGCTAGCAGATCTTCAAGAGACGGCGAGTCGATGTAGCCTGCATACAGGAAACAAAGTGGAGCGGAGCGAAGTCACGCGACATCGGAGATGGATATAAACTCCTATACAACGGTGCCACCTTCACCAGAAACGGGGTTGCTATAGCTGTCTCAGAGACTCTAAGGAGCAACATAGTTGACGTTGAGCGCATAAGCGATCGCCTGATGAGCATCAAGATAGATACTGGGAAACAGGTCCTACGAGTAATCACTGCCTATGCGCCACAAGTCGGATGTAGTGATGACGAAAAAGACGCGTTCTGGCAGACGTTGGATGACCAGATCATTTCAATTCCACTGGATGAGACACTCCTGCTAGGAGCGGACCTCAACCGCAAACGCCATGAAGACCACGGATACGGAACATGCAGTGAAGATGGTGAGCGCATTCTGGAATTCGCCTCAGCTCATGATCTGGTCTTGGCGAACACATACTACATCAAGAAGCATGATCACCTCATAGCATATGCGAGTGGCGATCGACGAACACAGATAAACCTCTGGGCTATCCGACAGCGTGACCTCAAAAATGTAAAGGACTGCAAAGTCCTTCCCGGTGAGAGCTGCATACCTCAACACAGATCCTGTTTCTCGACATCAGAATCCCAATGGATAGGCACACCAGGAGAGCCACAGAGACCAAGACACGCATTAAATGGTGGAATTGAAAACCAACAACGCGGCGAAACAAACACTGCTGACAACTCTATCACGCTTGCAAGATAACTCAGATCAATCCTGAAGCTTGAAAGATCGAGTTCACGAAGTGGCAAGCATGATCCTGGGAAGTACAAAGCCAGGAAAAAGAAGGATCAATCGAAAAACGTGGTGGTGGAATGACGAAGTGCAAAAGTTATAAAGGAGAAGAGGAATGCGTACAAGCGATGGCATAAGACGAATTCGGAGGACGATCGTCAGACGTACCAACAAGCCAAGCACGCTGCGAAGTCTACACTCGTCAACGAGCTGGAGAAGGCAGACATGGCCAAAAACCTTTGAAAAGAGCACCAAATAACAAATACAATGGCAGGGAGTGAAAGACAAATACAATGGCAGGGAGTGAAAGAAGACGTACTCAAACAGATCAAGAACGAGCAAAACGGTCAAACAGATTTCGCGCTGCTGGATATGATGTTCTCGATATCGCCTTTCACATGCGCAACCAAGCTCTGTATGCATATCGAGTGTAAGTTTTCTTCTGTTTTGAATACGATGATGATCACTGAATTCAATAAGGATGGCGTGCATTGGGACTACCTCGGAACTCTAAAAATCGTCGAGCGATAATCGAAAAATGAAAATAAATAATCGAAATGGGTCTTCGAGCTATCACAGAGTTATCACCGAATCGGTGCGGATTCGTGGAAGGAGTAGGTACAATTGACGCAGTCCACTCCGCCCGATAGTGATGGAGAAGTATAGAGGGAAGGAGGAATTGCATGCAGCCTTCCTGGACCTGGAGAAAGCCTTCGATAAGGTGCCCCATGAAGTCATAGTGGGCCTTGCGGAAACAGCCAGAGGAGTACGTTCAGTGGAGTTGATCTACCACAACGCTTCAAGCCACGTGCAGACAGCTGCAGGGCAATCAAAAGAATTTCAAATCAAGGTTGGAGTACACCAAGGTTCAGTTCTCTCTCCCTTGCTCTTCATCACTGTGATGAACGGCGTGACGGAATCGCTGAGACGCGATCCTCCTTGGACACTTCTCTACGCAGATGATGTGGTCTTGATAGCAAGTACCAGAAAGGAGCTACAAGATGAAGTACAAAACTGGAAGAACAGGCTAGAGTTGTATGGCCTGAAGCTCAACATCAGGAAGGCAGAGTATTCGGAAGTGGGGGAACAGACTCCTGGTACCATAAGCATCGATGGCGAAGAGCTAAAGAAGACAACGTCATACAAGTAGCTAGGCACAGGCACTCACATCTCAGCGGAGGGAGGCTTACAAAAACAGGGCGCAAGCAGGATGAACATAGCATGGATGAAATGGAGAGCCTTAACAGGAGTTCTGTGCGACAAAAGATTGCCAGTGCAACTCAAGTCCCAACTGTATCGCACCATCATCCGGCCAGCAAAATTGTATGGCAGTGAATACTGGCCATGTACGCGAAGTGAGGAGCGCAAGCTCAGTGTCATGGAAACAAGGGTGCTACGATGGACATTAGGAGTCACACCAAAGGATCACATCTGCATGACACTCTACGAGCGCAAATGAAAGTAGCTCTAATTGCCCAGGAATTGCAGGAAAAGAGGTTACCATGGTATGGGCATGTGTGCAGAAGGGATGAAAGTCACATCACGAAGTTAGCCCTGGCTGTGGAGGCGCTAGGCAAAAGACCCAGAGGTAGATCCAAGATGAGGTGGATGGACAGAATCAAGGCCGACCTGCGAGAACTTGGTATAGATGAAGACCTTGCCTCAGATAGGACGACATGGAGACGTCTGACAAGAAAAGCAGACCCTGCGTAAGCGGGACACATGCGAGGATAAAAAAATGAGCTTTTCATGCATTTCTATTATCAGGTTGCTGCATAAGTTCTGTCCGATTTAAATTTTCAAGTTCAAAATGTCATAACTCTCTTCAAAGTCAACTTTTCCAAAGATCTTAGTTTCTGTGTGTTGAGCAATTCCTTGGCTATCAGAAACATATTGAAACCTGCAAAATCCTTGTTAAGGAAGAAGCAAGAACTCGAAAACTTCACAGCTTTTTCTTCAAACCTGTCTTTTTTGACATGACAAGGCTCCCTTATGAGAATTGATAGCATCTTGTCTAACAATGGATGGATAGAGAAATTTTCATAGATTATTTTGCGACATAAAAGAGCCCATAGGGTCTGCGTAGCCGAGAGATTTTTTTTGACCGAGCAAAAAAGCCATTTTTTGACCTCGCCTCAGTGCATTGCCTGCCTATTTACGAATTATGAAAATTTTACAATTGACGTGAGCGCCGAAAAGAAATTGGTGGATGGTCTCTGCTAGCCCTTGCTTTACACTAGCACCTCCATCTTTGAAGTCGTCGATTACTTCTATTCGCAGAAAGTTATAGCTTGTAAAACATTTATACAGAAAATTATTGTTTGACAATAAATTTTGCTAGCAAGACGTTTTCTTCATGAAACTGGACTCATGCTTGTGCTAGCCTATTCCACCCTTATTCCGCAACCAATTGAAAAACTTGACCTAAAGGGAGCATTGTGGAGATTTCTTCGCAAGAACATATTTCTAGGGTGAGAACGTACCTCTGTCACTTGGAGATTTTAGGCCTGAAATCTCCTTATACAAAGAAATTTATTGAATTTTGATATGCCTTAGAAAGCGCAAGAAAAGCACTTTCTAATGATACTAACAATACCACAAGATGAAATTCTTAGAACAGCTGCTTCAAACATGAGGCAGAAAAAATCGGACGGAACTTATGCAGCAACCTAATATTTTTCAGCATGAATCATTGGCGTCGCATTATATTAAACAGTTGACAGTCGTCAATTTGGATGTGAAGAGTCTTGAGGAAGAATTGAGGCGGTGAGTTGTTCTTATGTGGCTATCGACGTTCTATGCAACTTATTTTAGTGCCTGCCTAGCCAGACATGCGTTATTAGCTGAGCAGAAGACGATGCAAGCAGCTCACGCAAGGGAAATAGATGGAATGCGTGATGAAATCGTCACACTGTCGCATGAATGCAGCACACTTCGCAATACTTTAAAGGAATTGGTGAGTTTGAACATTATTTGTGTTGTACCAAGGATGATCTACTTTTTTTTGATATTGGATGTATATTTCAGTCGGCTTCACCTAAACTTGCTTACTCCAAAGAATTGAAAGTCATTTAGATTTTGTCGTGGCAGCTCAAATATTGGTACATAATTCTTACATTGATTGATCTTTTGATCGCATTTTGATTGAGTTTGATGCATTTGAAAACATGGGTCATCTGCCTACGGCTGCCACGGTACGAGCTGGAACTGAGGAGTTTTTTGAACTTTAAATTCCAAAGATTTCACTTCCGAAGTCCCGTTTGACATTTTTCGAGCCCCTCACTCCTCTCTGCTCGACTTTTTGCCCTCTATGTTATGTGGGACTGTGGCCCAATCCAGAATGACAGAAAACCGAAAACAGTAAATCTTCACCTTCTTTTCCCTCATCCTCTAATTCCCTTCTCCCTCTAATTGCCCCTTTATCTCGCCCTCCTCCCTCTCCGCGAATGAGACGAATCAGCAGAACAGCAAAGAGGAGAAGGAAAAGGCCAGTGTAAGCACAATGGACACGGAGTGCCAAGCAAAAGGGATATTTGCATGTTGGTTTGCCTAGGGACCGCTTTGCGACCGCAGCAGATTACGCGGCCAATGCAGATTCTATGATCTTATTCATGTGATAAAGTGTGAAAAAATTATAAGCGAAGCCGGTTCCAGCTCAGCTGGCACCTGGAACAGTTCCAGCTATCTCGCGAAAAAGTTAGGTACGGTTTCCACTCACTTCTTACAAATTTCTGGGCCACAGTTAGAGTCCCCCCCCCCCGCACGTATGCACACCAAATTTGGTGTCATAACATTGTGTTTTGATTGTGAACAAACTTTTCTCTGTTTGAGCAAAATTTTGCGCTGGCATGCCGTGGCGAACCAGTGGCATGCTAAAAAGCGGATGAAGAGTAAGCATGCTGGCAGCTTGGCAGGGGCTTGCCCGCAGCATGTTAACGAAAGCTGCACGCTAAGGGTTGAGGAACGAATACCTTGATTAGATACTGCCTCCGCCTCCGTAGTCCTAACAATAAGAGAATCGAAATCGCTTTGCACACATTGCCAATAGGCTCTACCACAACAGACGGTAGTCCTCTGCTCGTTCTATAGCATGTCAGGTGTGGGTCAGTAGTCCGCGTATACGCTAACGGGTGGTGGGACAAATAAATACCTTGTTTAGGCACCGCTTCCATGGATTACTGGTCCTAACACGATGTACAACAGTAAAGCGAAAAGCCAGCAGTCCGCGTAGGCGGTGCTTGTGAGGTATTGTCTCCTCCACTCCACGCTAACTCGCAAGAACTCCACTTTTCTCCGCTCAAAAAGACGTCCAGCTTGACTCGGTTCAGCTGCGTCAAGCCCTGTATCTGTCTCTTACCCTATAAGTGTATCTGCTGGGAATATTTGGCCTTTCTGGATCCCAGTTTTGCCAAGTCATGACTTAATTCAGATGAACGAGAACGAATCGTTAAAAACATCACTTATGGAAGCACGAACAGCAGAACGTGCCCAAGCAGTTGTCGAAACTTCAGCGCATGTTCCCACCTCCAACGATCTCAACCATTCGCCGAGCGATTCATTTGATAACTTCCCATTGAATAATTCTCCAATCGCACCATTTTCATTCGCTCCTCCTCAAAACTCACACAGCACGCAGGTCTGTTTTAGCGCCGTTGCAGTTATCCGTTCTGTTATCCGTTGTGATTCCAGGAAGAAATGTCATTGAAGAGGTTAGCTTATCTGGAAAACGAAGCCATGCGTTGCAGTCAGCTAGAAGAGCAGATAAGGAAGCTGGAGAAGTCTTTAAAGGTTGGAGCACTAACAATAAGTGTCCTTTCTTTATATGCTAGTTTCTTATGTAGCTTCTTATCTTTAAGATTCTCACCACTCAGTACAACGAGTTGTTGGAAGTGGACGGGGAAAGATTGGAGCGAATCGAGGAGCTGGAGCATGATGTCACTGACCTGCGTCAACTCTTGAAGGATCAGGTCAGTTTTGTGAGTTGAGTTGAGGAGCGAACATGTTACATCTAGTTAGCTACATGCGTGTTTCGGTCAACTTCCAGTAGGTAGAACGCGCACGCAACGTAGGCCTTAGCTTCCGTTGTCTTCTCTTCGAAACTTGATATGGGGTTTCATGTTTTCGTTCTCCCTCTTTTTCATGTTCTCTGGATAAAAAGTATGGAGGATTCGGCGTTTTCAATACCCTTTGCGCTGTGCCGAACGCACTCTACTTCGTAGTCGAAGAGGCTGATGAATGCGTACGGGCCTATCACAGTGACTTGCGCCGGCTAGACGGCTACCAAGTTGGTATCAGTTTACCGACATTGGAGGGCAAAGGGCTTTTTTGGCCCAGGGGCGGGAACAATGTTTGGTCCGACCTGGTCTTGCAGGGGAAGGATACTTGGATGCCGTAGCCATTCATAATGATTTGTATACCAAAAAATGCGCTTTTGAATGCTGGTTCGTAGACTGTCTTTCATATCTGCGAAACGATAATCTGAATGGAGTTATGATTTTTTTTTCATTAAAAAAATTGCGTTTTTGCGGAGGGTCAAAATCATCAATAAAAAATTTTCTCTCCTTTCCAAATGCTGAGTATGATCCAGATAGTCTAAATAAATATTACTACGTCTAAAATTTTCTTCAGTAGCATCAAACGGTAGACTAGGTCAAATCTGGTGATTTTCACTATCCAAAAGTAGGCTAAATTTTCAAGGAGATAAGTTCATAACTTTCTTCAAAAGATCGTTTCGCAGATTTCGAGCACAGATTCGAAATCTGCATTCGAAGGCGCATTTTTTGGTATACAAATCATTAGGAATGGCCGCGGCATCCAACTATCCTTCCCTTAGTGGCGTCTCAAACCACTACGCTACTGGTCGTTTTCTCTAGATATGGGTCGTAGCTATAGATGCCTTGTTGGCATGACCAACATAGATCATGTAATTTGTCTTACAACCTTGATCCTTCTTGAACCTTTATCATTGAGACGTGTGCATGGTAACCTCCCTGGAATTAATAATAAAAGAAGTGAAGAGCAAAGAATATTCCAACTGTGGTGTTGAAGCTCCTCAAACGCAGTTTGAGCGTAACTTGCGCTGTGTGTGCACCGCGGAGGTACCCATGCCAGTGATTTGGCTCAGCGCAACTGTGGTTGTGGGCATGTTAGGCAGGTTCGCATCCTTACATTGGAATCAGGTGCACTTTCTATTACGCTGCTTGGAGTCTTATTCAGTTGTCTTTTATCCGGATATTTGCGTGTGGTACACACCATACTTATTCCACTTCATCCACTTCGCTATCAGTCAGATCAGTAAAGTGACCATTAGCGAAGTGGATAAAGCCGATCTGGGTAAAGTAGTGTGCCTAAGAGTCGTGCCGCTGGTTCGGTTGCGGTAGGCATCGAATTTCGCGCACTGATTTGCATACTCGTTGAACTAAAGGCGATGTGACCGCTCTCGAGCCTCTTCAGTACAAGATGAAATTTGGAGACGGGTTTGCTTCGTTCCTTCTGTTCACTGTGGACTGCGCATGTGGATTAGTGGGCGGCAGGAACTCATATGCTTTTATGGCTCACAATCCATAAGATATAAATACCCTAATTTCACGCGTATAAGACGCAAATTCTTCGGTTTTTCAAGCGTGCAGCTCAGCCGGCTCGTTGTGTTTCGGAAAACGAGACTTACGTTGCAGGATACTCTCAAGCAATATGCAGCACTGTAAATAAATCGCGAAGTTCTTCGGCGTGTCTGTGCTGTTCGATATTGGAAAATAAAATCTGAAATTATGTTAGTAATTTATTACAGTAGTATTGATTGCGTGAGCGTTTATTTCGGTGGATCATATTCAATTTATGTCTGACAAGAGGTATCAACTTGCATCGCCTCCTATGCAGCGCTAACGGGTCACCAAGTTTTGATACATCAGATTGTTTTGAAGTTTCTCGATCTTCATTAAATTCTGAAGAACAACTACGAATGTGAGTGTTGAAGTGCATCATTTTGACCCTGCTCACTTTACTTCTCCCAACTTTTTCTATGATGCTCAACTATCTGGACCTCTGACTTTGGGATTAGAACATTCACATAGCATATGACCAGAAATGAGAAAATCTGAGGTTTGACGTTCTAACGATGGTATTTTGAATCTAGAAAGAGTGAGGAGCAGTAGTCAGATTTTTCGGGGAACAAGCAGATTGTTACCGTTACCTACTACATCGCTTTATATTCGAGTGAAATATTTGCGGATAATAAGTAGATTCAAACAAATCGCAAATTCTCGCAAATTTGTAAAGTTTGGGTTGATTCAAATATAAACCTGGTATTGAAAACGTGTTCGTCATAGCATAACATAAGATTGTTACACATTCCATGTAACCAAAGCTCTGATCTAGCTTATTGTCGTCAAATAATTCACATTTTGCACGCTGATTCTTCTCTAAAATCAGTCTTAAGATTGAAAGCAAGCCAGCAACTTTCATTTTACATAGGGACTAGCATAGAAGGACTAATGAAAAATGGGAAAATTCTATGGTTTGTAATTTTTAGAGCTTGCCTTCCCCTCTTGTTGTCACCCTTGTATAACAAAATCCCTCGAAAGGCGTTGGCTTCAAGTTGTTCGGTCACTTACGTTAATGTCGACGTCTAGTCAGACCCCTCGACATTTTTGTTGATTTTTCAACCGCCGTAGTGTGTCACAAGAATTGCGATCCATTCAGCGATTTTCTCCTTGCTTTGACGTCTTTGAACAATGCTGTTGATCAGATTAGCCCTCTTTTACTCAAACATCATGTGCTGATGTGTGATCAGTGTCATTGAGACGAATCGTGCAAAATTTTGTGTTGAAATTACTAGGAAGTAAAGGTGGTAACTGTGGCTACATGTACTGAGAGATTATCGAGAGATGAACCCTTCAAACGCTAATCCCAAAGTTTCATTGTTTGCTGAACTATTCACCGAACTGGCTCGAAGTTTAAATGTTCTAGAGATATGTTTCCGTCTATTAGAAAGTGCGGGCCTTTGTAAATACGTTTATTCATATTTGTAAACTATTAGCGATCATAAATGGCGGATTCGGAGTCAGCCTTTGACAGAGTATTCAATGTGCTCCCTTGCGAAAGGCTACGCATTAAGTTTCTTCTCTCGAGAAGTGAGGTTCTTGTTGCTACGTTCTCCGCTGATTGCTTTCGACGTTCAAAGTGGCGAGATGTAAAAGAAATTTGGACATTTTTATTCATTTTTTTTTTGCTTGTGATCACGTACTGTGTTGACATGAGAATGAGCAGGTTATTGCCTCTGCTTTGGTTTGTGGTGATTTTTTAATTTAAGACACAAAATCTGGATTTTGACACGGTCCACGGTGAACGAGTAGGGTTCAAATGACTCAGAGAGTTGAACGAATTCGTGCGAATGTATCTTATTGACAAAGTACCTCCTACATTCAAAGACACTTCCTTGATTGACGATAAACTTCTATTTTGGAAAAATAAATTATTCTGATTGCTGTTCGAAATGCATAGTTGGGTGTTTCTAGTCACATTTTCTTCTAGAATTTCACGTTTGCTGAGTCAGATTTCTGTTCAATTTTCAATAGCCCGTATTTTGGAATAACCATTTGGTAGCCTGCTTATGTGAGTAAAGTAGTACTTGGTAAGCTACTCTAATTACTCTTAACCATAGTCATTATGCTGGGGACTCTCATTATGGATAGTCGCGAGTATGGTACACATTTTACTTATTGTACCTGTTGCTCTTATTCTGTGCATTCTTTGAAGACTTCACGAATAGAGCTTCAAGGGTTTTCACCTGCGAAATCTAGATTGCTTCTGAGGTTGAGAATCTGAAGGTTAGAGTAGACCCTTTGTTCTAGGCAGTCCCGAGTACAGGAGCGGAATAAGCGTGAATTTTCAAAACAAAAAGCTAGAGTTTTATCTAGAAGAGCAGCAAGAACAATTACCCTGTCAGTGTATCTATAAAAAAACTTTCCAAAGCGAAAGTGGGCCTAAGGAAGTTTGAATTGAGAGATAATCTTGAGTAACCTCCAGTCCAGTTTTTCACAGAATTCTACATCATTTTTGGAGAAATGCAACGAGAACCAAACTTGTTTGTTACTGACATTAGGCTTGTATACATACAGCTATGCCAAATTTGAGATTTTCGTCAAGATTGTTGAGCATCATTTCGAGTGGATCCCCATTCTTGGACGGCTTGAATAAAATTGGAATTACTGTCTAAGGCAACTTCATTGTGAATGCACTCAGAGTACCTATAATCCTGAGTGATCGAAGTGTGTTGCTCATGAGGTGCATGTGACCTCGTAGAATTCCTGTACGATTTTTGTTGTATGCGTCTCGATGAGGTTGCACTTCGTAATCAAATATCATCACGAGTTTCTGTGCATACTTGTCTGAATTGCAATAATGATAAGTAGCTTGTTTATATGATGTGCCTAACCAATGTGTTATTCTCTACGTATGAAATGGTATTTCGCAAGCAAAAGTTTGTTGTATAGCGTGTGTTCCGGAGCGCTTCTCATACAACGAACTTGCAAAGAATTAGCAATGCAAAAGTTCCGTTTCGAAATTTTCTCCAGCTTGATGCTGGGATGCCAGAAATTTTCTCGAAAACAAATGCTGTCTCTCCCTTCCCCCCTCGCACATGAATTTTTCGAAACGCCATTGGAGAAACATATACTACTTACATACACTTAAACACGGATTCTCCACTGATTTGGGTTTCTAAAAATTGCGAGTCAGTAGCAGAAATCAAAGCACTTTTTACTGCTGTGCTGATGCGGCAAACGGCGCTGGATCGGCTTTCCTTTCAGCGGGATTATCCTTGATTAATGTAAAGAACATGACCTCATCAACACTTTTACTTTGAGTTATGTTTCTAAACCATGTTTCACCAGCGACTCTTGAGAGACCGATCCAGTAGGATTCTTTTTTGATCAAAACCGTAATCGAACTGGGAAGTGCACGCTACCTTTACCCTTGTTTCTACTATTTTATCAGAATCTCTTTCAGCTACTCGCTTTCGCAGATGCTGTGAATGAGAAGGAGAAGAATTCGTGATATTGATGATGGGTCATAGATTCAATGTACATTGTGACAGCTCTTTCATTGTTCCCGATTTTATATCTGTGAATTTTATATCTGTGAATTACTGCGGGTGTATTGTATGCGTTTTGAAATTGTTTTTCTTTTTATTGTTTCGCAGAGACTGGGTACTAATACTTCAGATTATATTTATCCCTAAGATGTGAATAAAATTGTAGTATGATCTAACGTGGAAATGAAACATTTATTGTCTTTTGTTTGCTGTTTTCTTCCAGAGTTTGTTCTAATAGAATTTAGTAAAGCTCCGGGTGGGGAGAGTTATATACGGGGGAATTTTAGTAGGACGACATCATTTATCCTCTTGTCTGAAAATCACAGCAAGAATCAAAATTGGTCTCCGAAATTTCCAACCTAAAATCGAACATGTAAAAACTTAAGGTTAGAAGTAGACACACAATCATTATATGCACTTCACATTGCTATTTTCGATCATATTTTTTGCTTTCCGATCATATTTTTCGATACAAAGGTATGGTCCAAAAACAGCGCCTTGAGCAATCAGGGCTATGCTCCCATCCATGCTTACACCGAATAAAAACTTCAGTGATACATTCTTACTCGATAAGAAGTGCAGTTTCAGTTTAAATCTGGAAAAGCAAAGATTTTTTTTTCAAGCCTATTTTGAATTCTCAACCTGAATTCACCACTTCGCGTGCAATAGTAGGAGGTTGCACTTCATGGCAAAAGCTTGAGCGAAACCTTCTATAAGCTAGCTACTGAGAACGAAGCATTCAAAAACGGCTTTTCGGATTTTGCGATTTTGAGGTTGAGACCAGTAAATTGCCGAGACCGCTAGACCTCAAAGGTTCTATAAAAACTCACAGCATTAGCTAACTGGTAGGTTATGCACTCAATGCAAGTTCAATGGTTCTTTGCTACTAACCCTACTTCATGAAGTTTGTTGAATTCTTATAATCTTATTTAATGCGCGCATTTATTGCATTGAATAAATAAGTATAAAAGAAAGTACAGAGGGAATAAATTTGACTGATGTTAGTGAAGCTTCATGCAACGCTTCATCTTTCATTCTTTCTTTGCACCGTTATTTTGGTTGCACAGAAACAAGAGAATTTGCAAAGTACTGAGAACTCGTTAAATTCGTTAACTCGTCAAAGTACTGAGAATGCGACTTTGATGTTTTTTTTCAATAAAGTCGTTTGCCTAATGAAATATCCTCTGATTTGTTGTTTGCTGGAATGGCGTGCTCGTTGTCAAGAAATTGTATTCTGAAAAATTCAAAGGCGTTCAATGTAGAGAAATAATCTTTACTCCTTGGAAAGGGTCGTGTACTGTGAATTTGGAGATAAATGCTTCCAGCTATGTGTTGAAAATATGTGATAATCACTCGAATTACCATTCTATTGAGGCTAATTCGAGCGACTTGACAGCCAAATTTTTATTTATTGCAACCACATCATAGGAACTTATGCTTTTGTGAAAAGCGTATGTATCCACGGCAAGCACAGTGCAGCGTGTTTCAACAATTGTTATACGTTAGAGTAGTCTAGTAAAATGACGGCACATCGCGAGGAGAAAAATTGCCATTGGCAATGGCAGATTTTTATATTTTGTGCGATTCCGATTTTATGCCCAATTTTACGCGGAGTTATAGTAGTCACCGGGGCACTGAATTAGTCAATTTTGTTAAACCTGCATGGCATTCCTATTTGAAAGACCCAGTCACTAGAAGCTTTTTTAAAAGTTATATCAAGTGAGGCTAATTTGTGACAAGCTCCTAGGACTAATTTACACCCACCATGTACGAGACTAAAGTACTTCACACGTGCCATGCGAATTGCTGCCATCCCCTGTGTCTGCAACAAACCAGTTTCTGTTGTTCTGTAAGAATGACTGCACAATATCAGTCTTCTTTATTATGGTGGGTAGTGTTGAATTTTGCTATTCTTACCCTCACAGCCGATAAAATCACAAATTTTCACATTTCTCCGAGTATCGTTAGAATTTTGAATAGAGTAGGCTCGTTGAATAATCCGCTGATGCTTCATTGTGCTGAAGATGTTGCTCTTTTTTTTACAAATCTGTGAGTTGAGCAGATCTAAATTGTTTGAAAACATTTTGAACTGTTTTTACACTGTCCTTTCAAGCGACAATGGATTTCTAGTGGTCTTTAGGTGATAGTGCTTCGAAACTGAATTGCTCAATAGTGCAAATTCCGAGAGAGGTTTTATTTCAAACTCACCGCTAATTTTGGTCACAATTTTCATTCAATTCCCATTCCTTCAGTCTTTCGAAGAGCACTGACAATAAGCCATGATTGCTCACATTGATTTTGGGTAATGTTTATTCAATAAATCTATGCTCTGGAAAATAGGGTTTAATTTTCTCCTCTCAAAACTTGATGCCACTAAGTTTGATGGTTTTTGTTGGATCGATTCGACTACAAATTGTGGTGCAAAGTTCAGACTCTTCTCCACCCTTTTTCTCTTCTCCACTCTTTTTTTCGTCCCATCTGCACTTGAAATCTCTGCTAGCGCCAAGTTTTCATCGTCATTAGCAACGATTCCTAGTAGAATTTTCCCGACCTCGGTTCTTGGTAGGATTTGCAGAATTCTACTTGCATAGGTTTCTGGTAATGATCCGAAATTGAAGAGCAATGAATTGGAGGTAGTGTGGCAAAATATGAAATTTTTTGGCAAATCCAGCAGCACACGTCTTTGAAAATGTGAAAAGACGATTCTGTGTCAGTGCTTTTGTACAAAATCTACCCCATTTTCAGGTGTATAAGCCCGGGGTGGTCCTAGCTTACATCGACCAGCCCGAAAACACCAAAGGGCCTCGCAATTAAAGGACCCTATACCGTGCTGCGTATTGCCTGAAAGAATCGTGCGGCATAAGGGTAGCTTCTCGAAACACAATGAAGCAGCTGAGCAGCTCGTTTGAGAATTTGAAAAAGTGCGGCTTGTGCACCTGAAAATAGCGTAGTACTGCAGAGTTTCACAAAAATAAAGGTGAGCCGAGATACTAACCCCTCATCCTAACTCATCCTGCTACTTTTATCCAACAGATATTGTTTCGGAATTAGCGATACTAGAAATTCCAATAACTCGCGCTGATTCCGATGATTTTCTCAATGAAAGTAATCCTTTATTCCGGGATATTGAACCTGCCCGTTTTGGTAAAAACCTTGAAATAATCATCATATCTGATCTGCCGAAAGTACCGTAAATATACTCTTGAATGGTACCCCCATTAAAGCCAAGGAAGCTAATACAGGTGATTTCGCTTGACAAATGGACTGAAAGTAGACAGATAATCGTTCATTTACATGTGGAAATATATCAAAGTTCTCGTTACGATAATGACAGCAAACTTCATCAAGCAAAGTTTCTTTGTCTACTCAGTGGTGATTCACGAAAAACCTTGACTGCAGAATACGTGCAGTGTTTTTACAGTCAATATGGAACCACTGCTGACGTCTCGTCGTTTTCGTCACATTCACTTTTTTTAGCATAGATCAATTATCAGCAAAGAATTCACCAAAATTCGATAAATGCTACCGTCAAAGTCAGCAGAAAAGGAGACCAACTACTGCTTTCAATTTAGCGATGGAGCTCGATGCATAAGCTTTACAAGTTGATTGTATCTTTACCAGCAAAAGAAATTGTCAACCTAGTTCGAGATGGTGATGGTAATGTACATCAGCTACTATTATATTTTACTTCTAGTTTAGCATATCGTTTACCTACCTCCTTCGGAATCATACAATTTTTTTATGCTCTTCTTTTCACTGTTATTCTTAGCTTTTGAATTCAAACCGAGTACCCAAAATTCAAAATTTTGACTCTCATTTCTTTTTTGGACAATGATAATCTTCATGCCTCTTATCTGAGTTTCAACATTATTTCATCAAAAAGGCTATCTACTTAGCCAATCCGATCCTCCATATCGGAGATGTTTTTACATGTTTCGTTACAGCATCCAAGCACAAACTCTCACTCGGTTTCGACTGCTCTTTTCTTACTCATATTCTCTCTATTTTAGCTCGTCGATGCTGGATGTAGCCTAGTTTTCGAGAAGAATTCGCGTCATGTTGTGATCTCTGATGTGCATTTCACCAGTTCTTCCATAATTCCTGTTTTTGTATCTATGATTTAATGCGGGTATAATGTCTGTGTTGCGAAATGTTTTTTGTGGTCTTTCGTAAAGACTGCAAATGTGTTCATAGAGAAATGCCAATGCCGACGAGTGATGTGTATAGTCAAGCAAGGAATGTGAAGAGTGATCTAACCGGAAATGAAGTGTCTAGTTGTTCGCGTCTGATGTTCGTCCTTTATTTCGCAAGAAGTTTCCAAGGTTTTGGCAAGACGTCAATGTGATTGTAATCGTTTCGGGTTTCATTTTCGGCGTGTCAGAGGTGAAGGTATGGTCTCGGCACAGGTCATCTGATCAACGGGCTCGTCCTTGCACCGAGAGAGAATTGCGTAATCGGTCTGGACTGAATCCTAGATCGCATCTACGCTGGATACGAGCACAGTATCTATTTCCATATTCACTTCGTGCCGCCTTGGCAGACAGTCAAACGAAACAGCCTGTTTTGGAGACTGCGTCAGTTTTCTTATCCTCGTTGCTATCAAGATCAGATCTTTTTGTAGGTGGTGAAACTTTCCAACGATGCTACTTTTGGAACTGTGCGGTCGTTGTTGAAAAATTGTTCTGGTTTCGTTTCGAAACTTGTAGGCGTCCCTTCGTTCGTCGAGAATTGATATGAGCGCCACGTCGTGGCTGGTTAGTAGGTCGTAGGAAGATCCCAGTTTTCGGACTCGCATTCGGGTTTTGTGATTTCGTTGTGCTTTATCTCGACTCTTTCGTTCGCTGAACTTGCCCTCATACCCACGCGATCGTACGTTGTTACGCGTGAGACGCATATCACAATAAGACCACTATTAATGTTTCTACAATGTTCATACACTCGAGGTACATGTCAAGATGCGTTCGTCGAACACGACCGTCGAAGAGGCGCTCGAACACGATCTTGTATCTGAGTGGCGGCACGCACCACTCAAAATTCTTAACCTCTAGCTCAAGGAGAAAAAGACCTCGCCACCTCCAGCGCTAACTTTTGGTCCAAACCAGCACATTGCTGTCCGCATCCTGCACCGAAGTATATGGATTGAACGCTAGATTGCATGAGCGACCCGGAAAATCTCAAGTTTTGCGCTGACCTACTTTAAACTCCCATCGCGGTTTTTCGCCACGTTGAAATACTCCCATTTTCCACCTACCCACTTGTCATTTTTTTCTAAACGCCTTTTTGCTCCAACTCGCTTCTGCAAATCTGTACTGTATGCAGAGTAGGTACTATGGCACTTTTTTCTCCCTTTGAGACCATTGCTGACCGTCCAAACGTCTTTTGCACTGAAAGTTGATTGATATGACGTCGTACATAAATCAGTGACCGTAGTGCGTTTGTACAAGTGCCGTTCCGCCCAGCGCTTGTTTCGGACGTAGCTCCAGCATCTTGTCAACTTGTTGTTCATTTGTGATACTCCCAGCAGGTTTACTCAGTTGTCCTGGACCTTGACCAATCACACTGCATAAGTCAGTTTATGTTATTTTGTTCTTCGCGCATAACATTATGATAGAAGCCTGAATTACTGTCGCGAGACATCCATGAAGGAGCGAACGGTGCGAGGCTGAACTCCAGCAAGACGAGCGATTGGAGAACGAGTTAATAGTTCTAGGGAGGTTGAGTGGCCAATACCGTGTGCGCCATAGTGAGTAAGATGAAAACGAGTTGTGAAGTGTGTAGCGTCTTAGATTGATATCTCGTTTGTTTGTCTGAATCAGACGGGGCAAGTGACGCGAACATCTCCAGCCCCTTGGCACATTTCGCCCGCGGAGGAACCCGCGCCGTCCGCCCTGGTGCTTTTCATGTGCCGCGATGCCCTTCTAGGTGCTGCTTCCTGGAGGTGGGAAGACATTCGTCGAGTTTACAATGGCGCTGGGCAAGGTCGTCTCGGACCGCAATCTAAGTGCCGCGCTGGCCATCGTGCGCCCGCTCACTCGCTTCTGTTGTCCACCGTGACCCGCATTCACGATGACCCACTCTCATCGCCCCATTTCTTACTTCGTTCGTGGAGCTGCTCGTCTTGCAGCCCCTCCCTACATGTCCTGCCCAGCCACGCTGACGCGTGTGGCCGTCACCACCACCCAGTCACGTCACCTCCCACCTGCGCACTATTTCCTCCGCCCTGGTTTTCCGTAGAGGAGCGCGCAGAGGTGTTGTTTTCCCAGCAGCCGCTGCCTCGTCGTCCGCCCGCTTCGAGGCGACGTCGCCCAGCGCCCCTTCCGGTCAGTCGCCTTGCCGGATCCGCTGCCGTCACCCCTCCTGACCCCGTCTTTGATCTATCGAACTGCCCATTCAATACGCGCTAAGACCGCGCACGGTGCGTGTGGCGTTCTGAGCCGGCACATTCTGATCGCTCAACTAGATGCGCAACCGGTCTTCAACTTTTGTTCTGCTTCATCTCGTTGCGCTGCAACAGCCTCTTTATAGTAACTGCTGTGCCGTTCGTTGATATTTTGTTTCCACTGCTCTACTTTAGTGGAATTTGCTCCAGGATATTTTTGGGATATTGCGCAGGAAGAGTTTAGGTTGGGCGGACCGTAGGTCGCCGGCTCGACCTTGGCGAGCCGGCATGTCATGTAATCCGCTCCACACCCACAGCCCGCACAGCCATCATCGTTCATCCTAATCGATTGTTCGTTCCTTACGAATTCAGCCACCGTTGATCTCAGAATCCAGCCGCAGTCGACTTTCTCTTACATCCTCTCGCTCGCCCTCACTTCCTTCAGCCGTCTCTCTCTGTACAATAGCACAGAAACCAGTCGTTGTAAGCTTGTAGTGTCGAGATCTCATTTTTGATTCCTGCAGTTCACACGCAACAATATTCGAGTCTCAGCCTAGCTTTATCGTCTTCGATATCTGCATTTCTCCCATTGTCGAGCGAAAACATGATTGCTTTGGTACGTTTGCTGCTGTTGTTTTTCTTCATCTCGGAATCGCATAGTTCCCGTTGTTCACCTTTATCGCCTTGAGAGATCTGTTGCTCTCGCGTCGTGTACTTTGTATGGCCGCGCAGCAGGACAGGTAAACTGTGTGACGGTGCTCTATTTCAGAAGTGACGGTTCTCGACGGATTGCGATCAAGTGTCGATAAGCATTATGGAGAAGGGCAGTGCGCATTCTTCCGACATGTCTGCTGGCTGGGAACGTGTCTCGGATAATTCGCAGGTGCATAAAATTTCTTTATCAAGTACTTGTTTTTTCTTTTTTTTACACCTTCCCATCGCCTACTTTGAAGAATGAATCTTGCTCCCATCTCTCAAGACACACGTGTACTTGTGATGTTTACATTCTGTTGTGTATGGTGGAACAAAAACTCTCCTCATAATGGCTCTTGGTCTAGCATTTGCACTAAGCTTGCCTTGTGATATCCTCACATGAAAAACCATTCTGCCATTTGTTTGTGTCCACATCTCACCCAGCCCGGGTGTCCGTCTATCGTAATTGGTGGTCGCTGGCACCCACTGACTAAGCTCCAGCCGCGGCACCGTAGGCAGGACGTGTAAATGCGCTGTCAGCTAGGCGAGCGAATGCGTGAGAGTGAAGATGCTGATTTTGCTATCCCTCAAAACCATGTTAGTTCGGCTACACTAGAGGTCGCACTATCATGTATCGCATCGCGACCTTTGACGGTCAATGACTTTGCCAGCACTACGGCCTCCTTGCGTTTACCTCTTTACATATCCGTTCTCCCATCCGCTAACGGCTAGAGCCGCGCCAGCGCCGTCACTCCACAGTCTCACGCATTTCGCGCAATTTACCTTGCCCTCTTCTTGATTTGTGACTCATCTTACACCTCAACAGATTCAATCAATGCACTCGATTCGTCCCCTTCCATTACGTGTGTCCCACCTTTCATTTGGCTTTCTTTGCTGAACATCTCTTACTCAAGACCATGTTTTGCCTCACCGCTGAGACGCTGTCGTCGTCAGCGGTTGATCGACGCCTTGCATCGTTTACGAATTCTTTTTCAGTCCGGCGAGAGCATGTCCTCCAATGACCAGCCATGGTGGAAGGAACAGGAAGAAATAGTTATATCCGGAGTTTCCGGAAGATTCCCGCGGTTCGTAGGATCTCTCGCATTACTGCTGACAGACCACATATCTAAGAAATTCTCATTTTTTCTGCAGATGTGAGAACGTGAATGAATTTGGAGATCTGTTACTTCAAGGAGAAGATCTCATCACAGAAGACGATCTCAGGTGGCCACCTGGTCAGTGATCAGCGTTTTAACACGTGACAGACGAGTTTTGTTCCAATTAGTCTGACCAATTGCTCGGCCGAGTGCCAGCGACACTTAATCTTTTATGAACTCACCGAACCGAACATGCGAACACGTTGAACATTGGATATGCTATAGGTTTCTACGATCTGCCAAAACGACATGGCAAGCTCAAGGATCTCAAGAAGTTCGATGCGCAGTTCTTCTCCGTGACTCCGAAGCAAGCAAACTTCATGGACCCTCAAGTCCGCATCCTTCTTGAGGTGGCCTGGGAAGCGATGGTCGACGCAGGTGTGTTTCCTTGAGTGTGCTTTGATCTCTTGCGGAGTTAGTCCGGTTCACCGGTGACCAAGTAATAGCCCCGATCTCCCTCAATGGTCTCAATCGTGGGGCAGGAACTTTTTGCAACTAGGCTATGCTGGTGATGTTATACATAGAGGGCTGAATGAGAGCGCATGAACTGACGAGACGCAGAGTTCAGCGCCGGGCTAGCTGTGTGCCCTGTTGTACCATGTAACCTTGAACCTTCTTTAAGCAGCAAACATGATCTTCATTCTGTTTTTCCAAGGCTTGCTTCGGTCTAATTTTGCAAAAGGGCCTTCGTGCATATTCGCTCTGCTAATGCGTTGATTTTAGGAATCAATCCAATAGACTTACGTGGGTCGCGCACTGGAGTGTTCGTTGGATGCTCCGCTTCGGAAACTTCCGGTGCTCTCACCCAAGATCCGGAGACGGTTACCGGCTACACTCTGACCGGATGCGTTCGATCGATGTTCTCGAACCGTATCTCATACACATTCGATCTACAAGGACCGTCATTCTCGGTCGATACAGCCTGTTCTAGTTCCTTGCTGGCTCTTCAGCTAGCTGTTGATGCTATTCGTCAAGTACTGTTTCATTCAGACTTGCCAAGAATTGGTGCATTATCGATGTTGACTTTTTCAGAAGCAGTGCGATGCTGCCATCGTGGCTGGGGCTCACCTGACCCTTACTCCAACTGCAGCTTTGCAATTTCTCCGTCTGGGAATGCTCACCGAGAAAGGCAGCTGTCGTTCCTTCGACGATTCTGGAGATGGGTACTGTCGTACCGAAGGAGTAGCCGCCATATTCATCCAGAGGAAATCGAAGGCTAACCGCATCTACGCCACCGTGCTCCATGCCAAATCTAACACTGACGGTCAGTGATTACTTGACCCTGAACGTAGATCAAATGAAAATCTACTTTTTAGGGTACAAGGAACAGGGCATTACATTCCCATCCGGCGAACGTCAGGCTCAGTTGCTTGAGGAAGTTTACAATGAAGCTGGAGTTGATCCCAACAGCGTTTACTACGTGGAAACCCACGGAACAGGAACCAAAGTTGGAGATCCTCAGGAAGCTAACGCTATTTGCCAAGTTTTCTGCTCAAACCGCAAGGAGCCACTTCTCATTGGATCCGTCAAATCTAACATGGGCCATGCAGAACCTGCATCCGGTCTCTGCTCCATTGCGAAGGTATAACTAATACAAATTGCCTAGTACCTTCATTGTACAATAGCGACATTTTTCAGGTTCTTGTCGCAATTGAACGTAAATTAATTCCACCAAATCTTCACTTTAACACACCCAACCAGTATATTCCTGGTCTTACTGATGGTCGATTGAAAGTAGTAACTGAACCTACTCCTCTTCCTGGAGGTGTCATCGGTATCAACTCCTTTGGATTTGGAGGCTCTAATACTCACGTCATCCTCAAGGCGCCTGATCATTCTGCTCCTCCTCTGAGTGAAGTACCATTTACAAAAATCCTCACGTTAGTTTTACTTATATATAAGATTTTGAGCCTGCCAAAACTGTTTCTACCTCCCCTGTTATAGATATTGCGGTAGAACCCAAGATGCCGTGCAGTACGTCTTTAGCGTTGTGGAGAATAATGTCAATGACGGTTACTTGCAAGCCCTTCTTGCAAACCAAGCCAACTTACCAGCGAAAGATACGCCGTTCAGAGGCTATATGCTGATAAATCGTGGAGGTGACCAGCCACCCCTTAAGGATGTACAGAAGGTGAGTTTCTAATCCCTGATCCCTGACACATCATCTCCCACCTAAACATCCAACTATCCAGGTATCAATCACTGAACCACGTCCAATCTATTTCATCTACTCGGGTATGGGATCGCAATGGCCTGGAATGGCTCAAAATCTCATGATGATTCCTGTGTTTGACGAATCATTGCGTGCTTCGAGCAAAGTGCGTTATTATAGTAAAAATCTGAGCCTGATTATCAAAATTTCCTTCAGACGTTGGAAGAATTTGGATTAGATGTGTATGGCATGCTTTGCAACTCTGATCCATCCCAGTATCAGAATAACACTTTAAATTGTATGCTTGCTATCACCGCTATACAGATAGCTTTGACAGACCTACTGTTCTCACTCGGTAAATAACTCCGGGCATTTCAAGCATATTTGAAAATGTGAGAATTCATCTTTTTCCAGGAGTGACTCCTGATGGTATCATCGGTCATTCTACTGGCGAAATGGGTTGCGGATACGCTGATGGAGGCATTACACGTGAGCAGACCATGCGCCTCGCATATCATCGCGGTACCACGATGATGAAGCACAAAGAGATTAAAGTACGGCAATTGGACTATGATCGGCCATAATTTGCTGAATATCTGAGTTTGACATTTAGGGAGGAATGGCAGCCGTTGGTCTTACCTGGGAAGAAGCTGCAGCACAATGTCCTGAAGGAGTCGTACCAGCGTGCCATAATGGAGCGGATTCCGTCACTATTTCTGGAGATGGCGAGAAAGTACTGAAGCTTTGTGAACAGTTGAAGGAAAAGGGCATTTTTGCCAAGGTAGATATCAGTTAAGACGCAAAGTCCATTGATTCACTTTAAACGTATGTAGTCCGTCGACTCCTCTGGAATACCGTTCCACTCTCCAATGATGGCACGAGTTAAGGAGCCTATGCTCCAGGCGATGCGTACGGCTGTACCTGAACCAAAGCCTAGATCATCCCGCTGGATTTCTACCTCCATTCCCGAGAAGGACTGGGAAAGCGAGCTGGCAAGTACATGGTGAGATTATATACCAACACAAGCTCAAAAATGTTATAACTTTTCATTCTGTAGCTCTGCCGACTACCATGTGAACAATGCCATCTCTCCGGTTCTGTTCTATGAAGCACTGCAGAAGATACCTCCAAGTGCTGTGACAATCGAATTGGCACCCCATTCCCTGATGCAAGCCATTCTGCGTCGATCTCTACAGAAAACTGTTAGCAACATAGGTTTGATGAATAAGCCTAAGACTGAGAATGAGAACGAGCTGGAGACGTTCCTGCAGGTAGAAGCTGCTTTGTAACCTGCTTCCACATATACAATCGATTTTCAAAATTTAGTCACTCGGTAAAATCTACCAAGCTGGAGTGAATATTCGCGTCGAGGATCTATATCCTGGTGGACGATTCAAGGGTGTAGTGCCAAGAGGAACACCTATGATTGGTCCGATGTGGAAGTGGGACCATTCTCAGGACTGGCCCGTCATCGATGGTCGTCACATGGCAGCTGCTGGAGGTGGCGGACTTGCCGTATCCGCTTCTTATCATATTGATCCATTCTCGGCAGATTCTAAAGTCAGTCAAAAGTACAAAAATGTTTCTCATAGTCGATTCACGTCATATTCAGGAATCGTATCTTCTTGATCATTGCATCGACGGTCGCGTGTTGTATCCGTTCACTGGTTATCTGGTGCTAGCGTGGAAGACCTTGGCCAAACTCAATGGAGTCGACTTCCAGAAAACAGCTGTAGTCTTCGAAAACATCAATGTCTACTCCGCCACCATTCTGACAAAACCGAGTGCGTAATTTGCGATAATGTAGGCCATAGCGCATTAATTTCCTTCTTATTGCAGTTAAGCTCGATTGCGTTGTAACACCTGGAAATGGCATGTTTGAAATCCTCTCTGAAGAGCAGGTGGCTGCGTCTGGTAGGATATACATCCCCGAGGAGAACCAGCCGTTCTACTATGGCAAGCTGAGCGACATCCGTACTTCCGAGATTGCAGACAGGATCGAGCTCGATACTGAGGACGCTTACAAGGAGTTCCTTCTGCGAGGTTAGTTTAGACTTCGCAGACTTGGAGCACATCGCTGATGAGAGTTGTTCAGGTTACGAATACGGACAAGCCTTCCGTGGCATCTACAAAACATGCAATTCCGGCGAGCGTGGATATCTGTATTGGACAGGCAATTGGGTGACTTTCCTGGACTCACTTCTCCAGACGGCTCTGCTAGCGGAGCGTGCCGACACTCTTCGTCTTCCGACTCGAGTACGCCATCTTCGCATCGACCCTGTAAAGCATCTGGAGCATCTCATCGAAAAGGACGGTATCCAGGTGAGCTTTTCGGAGTTGCGCATCATAAAGAAAATGCTATTGGTCTTCTTCAGGTGTTCGAACTGCGTAATGACCATGCAACAAATGGTTGCATCGCTGGAGGAGTTGAATGCTGTGATCTGACAGCTCACACTGTTTCCAGACGTCTGCAGACTTCTGGACAGGTAAATGATGTTTCGAGTTGCTCTCCCATGGGATTTCTGTAAAGACACCTGACGTTCAGCTGTACCATGAGCGCATCTACTTCGTGCCACATTACGATGACCAGTGCATGAAGGATGTTCCCAAGGATAAGGAGTTCCTCATCCAATACTCAACTGCGCTGAAATATGGTAAATAGTTGGCTCCACCTCATCTCTCAACAGTTTCTAATTGCATTCTCCATCTAGTTGTCGCCCGTGGTCTCGCACAATGGGACAAGGCAGGCATCTTGAAGAAGATGACCAACGGTGCCCTGCTGAAAGTTGCACTCGATGCTCTGAAACCTTATGGAGGAAATGAAATCACGGAAACCACGCTCCAAACATTCATGGATGACAGCAGATGCCCAATACTGCATGCTTTCCATGAGATCTTCAACCTGAACTTCACCGACGACATGATCGCCTCGGACTTCGAGGAGCTGGTGGTGAACAAGCTGAAGCCGCTCAAAGCTGTGTTCGACTGCGATCGCCTCTGGGCAGCTGCACTGCTCGAAGACCGCGTTATCAAGACCATACAGGTAAATTCGTGTCCTCATCTCTGTAAAGAGTGGATGTCTGAGATGTGCACCTCCTCATATTTCAGGACATCTGCATCGAGAACTCTGCTGGACACAATGCCAAGATGTGTGCCGTTGAGCTGAACTCCTTTGAGCAGCTTAAACAATGCGTCGAGTCGAACTTGTCTCATCCACTTTTGGAGGTATGTGGAAGTGTGGACTCGCATGAGTCAACCAATAGTCATGATTGGTGTGCAGATCGAACATCTTGCCGTTGGCCCAAATGTTGACCAGTTGGACGATAACTCACTTGAGCAAGTTGGAGCTCGTAAAGTGCGCCTGACTATCGATGATAACTTCACCGGACATAACGATGCCAAAAATAACGACTACCTCCTTGTTGACAAAGTTTTGTGCAGGTAGGCTTAGAAAGCACAAGCTTCAGCCGCAGGCCAGCACAGGCCAGCTCCTCATTCCTGCTTTAATTTTCGATTACAGGAAAGAGAATCCGGCTGCTTACTTGCATTCGTTGAAACATCTTCTGCGTGATGACGGTTTCATAATTGTTGTGGAGGTCACATCTGACTACGAGCTGGCTTTCGTAATCCAAGGTTTGTTTTGGCGGGGAACATGAATTGTAAAAGTCTGTCAAAAGTGGACCATCAAGCAAATTCATGTAGTCCAGTTCTGGCTATCTTCTTCATGGACCAAATACTATAATGGTTGTTCTGTAGGCAATTTTAGACCCACACTGTGTTAGTCACAACTTTACGTTTGCATCTGCGATTTCGTCTCTTCACTTCTTTTGGCGCATTTTCGACCACTACAAACATTCCTTGCTTCAAAACTTTTTGCTGTTTATGATTGTGATGCTGAACAGCCGATGTTGCCTCCAAAAAGATGAATAGATGTTTTTGGCTTTTTCGCATCAATCAACTGTTTTCCAGGCTTGTTTGGCCAGGAAGTGTCTGTCACGAAAGAGCGACAGTTTGGCACCTACTTCTCGCACGAGGAGCTGTTGAAACTGTTCAACGAAACTGGCTTCAAGCTGTGCAACTACCAGCGTGACCCGTCGCTGATGACAACATCGTACATCATTCGCAAAACGCCTTCTGTTCCACGAGATCCTGTTTTCATCGACGTTGACGACGTCAAAGAGTTCACCTGGATCGAGCCATTGCAGAAGGTCATTGAAGAGCGTCTCAATGAACCAGACAGCAAGACAATTTGGCTCATGAACACAAAGGTTTGTGTTGTGTTGTTGGGTTTTAGGAGCGTTTAACACCGTCTCCTGATCCAATTAGCGTTTTAGGTGCGCAATAATGGTGTGATCGGACTGGCTCTCTGTTTCGTGGAGGAAAATCTGAAATCGAACCGATTCCGTTCAATTGTCGACATATCTTTGAATAGGAAGCGACGTGAAGGACCGGCAGAAATTAAGCTTGGTGATCCGAAGATACAGAAATTGATAGACCTTGACCTGCATGCTAACAATTACAAGGACGGTGTATGGGGCTCGTTGCGGCATTTCGTCGTTAAAGATGGTTCGTCATTCTCGACCCTAATTTGCAGACACGAAGGAATTTGTCCGTTTTCAGAAGATGCACACACTTTCAAAGATTGCCAGCACGCTTTCATCAATACGCTGACACGCGGAGATGTATCTTCTCTAACCTGGTTCGAATCACCTAACCAGTATTTCGATGTGATTGAGGGCAAGGTGCGTCCGCATTGAGATGTTAGGATTTTGAGAGAAAAAGGCCCTAGATACAAAAAGGTACATTTTCAGAGAAGCACGCATGAACTTTGCTCTGTTTACTATGCTCCGATCAACTTCCGCGACGTCATGTTGGCGTACGGTCGTCTGCCACCTGATGCTATCCCCGGAAACTTCGCGGACCGAGAATGTCTTCTTGGGATGGAGTTCGCTGGAAAGCTCAAGGATGGCACGCGTCTTATGGGTATCCTTCCCGCCCAGGTGAGAAGTCCTCATTGCCTACAGTAAATCGTAGGCTAATGCCGGGTTTTGTAGGCTCTGGCTACGACTGTCATCGTCGATCGTGACTACGCCTGGGAAGTGCCGGAGCAGTGGACCTTGGCTGAAGCATCCACCGTGCCTGTTGTGTACACGACTGCCTATTATGCCCTTGTGTGTCGTGGACGCATCAAGAAGGTACCTGCATAGCACTGGGATTGCAACTAATTTACTAACTGTTATCTCCTTATAGGGTGAGAAAGTGCTAATCCATGGAGGAGCTGGAGGTGTGGGACAGGCTGCCATCGCAATCGCACTCGCAAAAGGTTGTGAGGTCTTCACAACAGTTGGCTCGCAGGACAAGCGTGCATACCTGAAGAAGAAGTTCCCTCAATTGCAAGAGCATCATTTCGCCAATTCGCGGTCCGCTGATTTCGAGCTTCACATTCGCCAGTACACCAAGGTAAATCATATCCAACAGTGCCTTTGTCATTGTCATAAATGCTCCACTTACAGGGACGAGGTGTAAACATTGTCCTGAACTCACTTGCGCATGAGATGTTACAAGCATCGCTGCGATGTCTGGCTCGGCATGGAAGATTCTTGGAGATTGGAAAAGTTGATCTAGCGCAGAACTCCTCACTTGGAATGTCGAAACTGCTCGATAATGTCTCCATCCATGGCATTCTTCTTGACTCGATTATGGATCCTACTGTTGGAGATATCGTATGTTGTTAGTATTGCTGATCGTAGAGTACGCTTCTTTTATTCACCTGTTGTATTGCAGGAAGAATGGAAAGAAGTGGCTCGTTTGCTAGAAGAGGGCATCAAGAACGGAGTCGTACAACCGTTACCAGCTTCACTGTTCCCATCTGACAAGGCAGAAGATGCTTTTAGGTTGGTTATCACACCAGATGGACAAAAAAATTCATGGCTTATTTGTCTGTGTGGTCTTATTTTTCCAAATTTTTAGATTCATGTCCGCTGGACGACACATCGGAAAAGTTGTGATGGAAATCCGAAAAGAAGAAGCAGATCGTTCTGCTCCGCCATCGCCAATCTCAGTCCGCGCCATCTGCCGCACTCTTTGTCATCCTCAGCACGTCTACCTCATTACCGGCGGTCTTGGTGGATTTGGACTTGAGCTTGCCCAATGGCTCATCAATCGTGGAGCAAGAAAACTTGTTCTCACCTCTCGAACTGGTATTCGCACTGGATATCAAGCACGATGTGTGCATTTCTGGCGAAGAACTGGCATATCGGTGTTGATCTCTACGCTAAACATCGCCAAGGTGGGTACATTTGGCAGTGAGAGAAAAGTTGTGCTTGAGGTAGATATAGTTAAGGTCATTTCTGTAAAGTATTTTCCCTTTTTAGCGGTCAGATGCAGATGAACTGATACGTCAGTGCTTGACCATGGGTCGACTAGGAGGAGTTTTTCACCTTGCTATGGTCCTTCGTGATTGTCTGTTCGAAAACCAAAACGTCCAAAACTTCAAAGACGCAGCGGAAGCGAAGTACTACGGAACGATCAATCTTGATTACGCCACACGCGACCACTGTGACGAAGCCTTGCGATGGTTCGTCGTGTTCTCGTCCATCACCTCCGGTCGTGGAAATGCCGGCCAGACCAACTACGGTTGGTCCAACTCCACTATGGAGCGTATGATAGAGCAACGCCGTGAAGATGGCTACCCTGGAATCGCTATCCAGTGGGGAGCGATCGGAGATGTGGGAGTTATCCTAGAAAACATGGGAGACAACAATACTGTCGTCGGTGGCACCCTTCCACAGAGGTGAGTCAGCCCACTATTCTTGAAAAGTACGAAATCTGTTCCTTTCAGAATGCCGTCTTGCCTCGCGTCATTGGACATGTTCCTGTCTTGGAATCATCCTATCGTTTCATCCTACATTAAGGCAGACATGGGACAAAAGAAAGCAGCGGGTGGTGGCAATCTTCTTCAGGTACTTGTCAAATGTATTGAATTAATTAATTCGAAGAGGTGTTCATTCAAGAATCAAGAAAAATGTATTGCTGTTCTGCCCTAGAATCTCGGTTAAATTTGCAGAGACAGAACATAAGTCGTCTAGCAGGGGCGACAACTTGAATAGCCCGAGTCCACTCTAAATAAAGTTCTGTAGGCATGCGCATTGTAGTAAAATTTGGAATTGGAATGTTAACGGCACTCCTGTGTGCTCTTAACTCTTCTCGAGTCAACTGCATTAGTGAAATCATATGTTCCAGACCATCGCGCACATCCTTGGCGTGAACGATGTGTCCCAGCTGAATCCCGACGCGAATCTGGGAGATCTCGGACTCGACTCGCTGATGGGAGTTGAGATTAAGCAAGCGCTTGAGAGGGATTACGATATCGTGCTGTCAATGAAGGACATCCGCACGCTTACCCTGAACAAATTGCAAACATTAGCCGAAAGTGGAGGACAGGGCGATACAGCTCTTCAACCGACTGAACTCGATATGAAACTTGAAACTGAACGTGATGCCGAGCAAAACACTGTAGAAATGTTGGAGAAACAGATGAACCAACTGTTCAAGATGAGAGTAGATGTTAATGATCTCGATCCTCAGGATATAGTTGTGAAATGTAACAAGGTAAGCCTATGAGTTTCTATTTTTAGAGACGTATGAAATGCGTGAGTTACAGATCGAAGAAGGTCCTGTCACGTTCTTCGTGCATTCCATTGAGGGCATCGCTACCCCTCTGAAACGTGTCATGACCAAATGCAACTTCCCCGTTTATTGTTTCCAATCTACCAAAGATGTCCCGCAAGATTCTATTGAAAGCGTAGCAGGATGCTATATTAGAGTAAGTATTCAAGAATAAGGTTCGTCCAAACTGCAATATGAACAACGGCGCTGTTTCCAGGAAATGAAGAAAATTCAACCAAAAGGCCCATACCGACTCGTAGGATACTCCTACGGAGCATGTATCGGATTCGAGATGGCCACTATGCTACAAGAATCCGACGGCCCGTCTGCTGTAGAACGGCTAATCCTCCTCGACGGATCTCATTTGTACATGCAAACGTATAGGAATGTATACCGAATGGCTTTTGGAGTCACAGGAGACACTCTCGTGAACAACCCACTATTTGAGTCAGAAATCATGTGCGCTATGACTCTTCGGTTTGCAAACGTTGACTACAAGAAGTTCCGTGTTGAGCTGTTGCAACAGCCTGGATTCAAGGCCCGGATACAGAAGGTTTCGATTGATATCTTTCGCAAGTGCGAACTAATCTGCCCGCGCAGCTTCAGAAGAGTGCTTTTTGCAGGTTGTCGACACTGTGATGACAACTGGTTTGTTCAAATCGCCGGAAACTATCGCCTTCGCGTGCGAGGCCATGCGGTCCAAGTTCTTGATGGCTGACAAGTGAGTTCGTTTTCTTCAGAGATTTCAGCGATTCAAGCAGCTGCTTGCAGATACAAGCCTGAGCGCAAGTTCGCCGGCCTGATCACCCTGGTGCGAGCGGAGCAGGGTGCCGCGCGCGAGGAGGACGTCGGCCACGACTACGGTATCTCGCAGGTGTCGGACGACTCGAAGGTGTTCGTGGTCGAGGGCGACCACGACACGTTCGTGCAGGGCAAGAGTTCGGCGAAGACGGTAGCGATCATCAACGAACTCATCAAGGATACGTACAAATGCTAGACCTCGACGTGTGATATAGTGTATGCATGTGTGTGTTTGTGTGTGTTGAGTGATGTCACCCGTCTTCCATTTCTTGCTCAGCCCAATCGCCCGCACGGGTGAACTGATAGTTTTAGTTAGGTTTTCAACTCAAATCGATTCTCCCCAAGAGTTTTTCGGAGTGCGAAAGTGTATCGCGCATAATGGAATTCTATCTGATGCACAATTCCATGCGTCTCCCGGTCGAAGACGTTTTTCGCTAAAATCTGGACTATAAGGACACGGAGCAAAGCGCTGCGGAGGTCATGGGATCGTGCTTGTACAATTCATCAAACATTATATTGAGAGCTTTCTTTCTGACGATTGGCTTCATATACTCTATTTTTCGCCATATTATTCAATGATTATAGTTTTGTTATTGTTCATTACAAATGTTTATCTGTCATACTTTGAAATAATAATTTGCATAGTCTTTTACGGTGTCTAACTGTATTGAGAGTTCTTTACTAGGGATTGATTTGAACGAAGAGAAACTTTCGTTTCACCTTTATTCAATAAATCTCATATGATTGTTGTCTTCTGTATAAATCACATGATAAGCACTTGTCTATTCTGCAAAGTATCGTACCTGAGGCTAAAATTTACCTTGTACTGACACAAGAGCATGATATCCGAGACAAGCTTGAACAGGAAGCGTACGAATTTGCTGAATTTATAGCTGAATCCGAACTGTACTTGCTATCGAAAAAGTTGCAATTGCAACTGTGATGACTTCATGTCTCTAGACTTTCAAAAGTTTAAACAAATCTGAAGAAAGAATAGCCTTCATGCTAAGCTGTGAGGAACGAGGCATCTTCATTAGAGGCTTATTTGTGAGAAAAGTTGACCTGACTGGCGCTGATTTGTACTCTTAATGAGACGGGTAGCACATTCTCTAAAGGAGTATCGCTTGATTGATTTGATGGAGGAGTAAGGCCGGTTATTTGGCAGATCGCTTTTGGTAGTCCTGCACAGCTTCGCTTGTAATTTCCTGCACAGCTTCGCTTGTAATTTTTTTTTGAACCAATCAGCTTCGTCTATCGAAAGTTGAAGAACTAGCGAAGGATGTTCATGAGAGACAGGAGCACCATCCAAACTTCTTTGAATCAGTACACTTAGAAGCGGCATAACTTATGTTGAAATGATGGAAACAATAGCAATGGCAGTCGATCTGGTATCCAAAGTGGTTTGAACGCTCAAGTAAACGAAAAGTTACATTCTCAAAGTGAAGCGCTAGGATAAAGAAAATTATCGTCCCGGCTGAGTCATACGCAACCGTAGGGGCTGGTTTGTAGCTATCGTACAGCCATTATCATGCATATCGCCAGCCTTCCATCTTTGCTTCTGCTTCTTTCGATCATCTCCTCTGTTGGCGCACTGCGAGCTCAGCGAGCAAGCCGCAAAGCGCTATCGCATCTCAAGCAAGTACTGAACGAGGAGACAGCTAGGTACGAATTTTTTCCGCGGAATTTAATGCAATACGAGTTAATCATGTCAAATCTTTTTCCGCTTTCCTTTTATACTTATAATAAAGTAGTAACTGGCGTTTTTCTGATGGATGGGAACATTTTTACCACATGTTTCTTTGATCGTTTATTGTACCACATAGATCCAATCAATTACGCGTCGTGCAGTTTCATCAGACAAGATACGACCTATTTACCTGCCTAGGCGCACGATTTCACTGAACTAGCAAATCTGATTCAGATTGATCAGCACACGGCAACAAGATGAAGTCGACCTTTTCGGGGACCTTACCAGGAACCCTAAGGCGGAGCGCAATAAGGTTAGCCGATTACGAAGACGAAAAGTGCGAAAAATCGCGCAGTAAACTTGACTTTGCAGGATGAACTGTCCGTAAATAACCCTGAAGACTATTTTCAAGGCGATGTTGATTTATCTGAACAGCAAATTAAGCAAATCGAAAAGTCCATCAAGGGAGAACATCGAGAGAAACGAAAGGCATGTATAGCACCTTCACTCATAATCCATAATCACCTCTTTTCAAAGTTCTGTCAAAGTGCTACTTCAGGTCGGTCGCACTCCACTATACCGACTTTGGGATCGGGCACACGCGATAAGTTTCGATTTTACGGAAACGATTCCTTATCGGACAAGGGCGAAAATTCGGTACATTTACGAGATGTGTCTGCATATCTCTTAGACATCGCATTTTACATACAATTTGATGGCTGTAAAATCTTTTGAAATGGTCTTTGAAAAGTTCACATGTTACAAGAAAGCCAGTCAAGTGAAAGCATTACCATAAACAGGAAAAGTAGATTGGCGCTGAAATCAAAATTGGAAGCGAGTGCCAGAGCAGGATGTTTCAGAAATGCTAGATGACTTTTTGACCATTATATTTTCAAGAGAAGCGATGAATTTGTGGGAGCGGAACACTTGTGTTCGTTTTGACGAAAATGGACCAAGCGTGGATCGACTTGAGTTTTTTGATGGCGGTGGATGTTCGTCGTTCGTAGGCCGTATCGGAGGCACGCAGGTATGGAATGAATAATTACAGTCACAAGTTTCGGTACTGCCACTGAAAGCTACTTATCGTAAGCTACAAAAAATCAGGTAATTTTTATAGCATCACGAGATTACTCTGCATGTGATATACGAGCTGTTGGGAGCATTAATTCCTTACTCTGACAAAATCATCTTGTAAAGATAGAAAAGTGTAAACGTTGAAGGGTATTGAAACTTGTATTAAAATGATGTGCTATGGAAGATTAAGTTCAACCAAGGACATCTCTTTCATTTTGAGTAGGAACAAGAGATTCCCGGAGAGAATTGTTCACATATTCAAAAAGAAAAGAATCTTCTATACAACGCCAAACATGGTTGACGACACCGTCAATCACAAAGTTTACTGCTCGATACCTGTGAATTTTTTATACTAGATTTTTTCAACGAAAATGTTTTCCGTGCACTTGTACTTGATTGCAAACATCGGTACGAATGCTTGAGTCAATTTCTGACCATGTGGTCGGTTTACCTTTTCACATTAGAATCTTTTGTTGGAACAAGTAGCTGATCTCCTCGCACAAGCTAGCACAGTACTGCATTTAGCGGTTCCTTTATGACTCAGGTAGCAAATCTTTTGCTTAGATCAAACTTTTCTTGTTTGGATTTTTTAATCAAAATCGGTATCAGTCTGGAAAACCAAAATCGCGCATATACTGCACATCTTAGCAGAACAAGTAGACTATATAATATCAACATGTCCCATAATTTCTGTCTGTTTTGTCCTTTTCACCTCATAAATCTCACTTTTCCCAATTCTTGAATAGCTCTGGGGTATCTAGCGATAGAGCAAAGAAAGCTCTTCGTAATTTCCATATGTTGGCACAAAGCTCGTTCCACTTTTAATCTAAGGTCAAATTTCAAAAACTTTCAAAAGCTTGGACCTCGAAAAAATAAGAACTCTGCTCAAGAAATCACGGCTAGAATTCTAAAAACAAAAATAGGCCAGAAATATGAGAGTAACTTTTCACGTTATCTTAGTTCTTGATTTCTCGAAAACTACGTATCGCTTACAGAAGGCTAAAAATCTCTTATATTTCTAAAGGATTAAGTTATAGAATTACCTAAGCGGGAACAGCCCAGCATCGTTTCGAGAAAAATATGGTGAATTTCATTTTCTTGATTTCTATCCCTGAAAAGTTGAAGCAATTGTGCATGAATATTAGATAGGAGTGTATGTTCGTGAACACGTTGTTCTTAGAGACTTTCGAAGCAGAGTTCTGACTTCTTGAGTTTTTGGACTTCTGAAAGTTCTTACATGTTATTTCTAAATCAAATGTGGAACGAGCTTTGTGCGAATATTTGGATAACACCTTTATAGAGTGAAAACGGACGGTACTTAAGGGACAACCTGATAATCATATTATGCTCATTTGCTTGCACAGGGAATTTCAATCTCGACACCTGGATGTGATGTAGTCGGAATCATAAGCCATGAAATCGGACACGCACTTGGAATCTTTCACGAACAAGCACGTCCGGACCAGGTCAGCTCTCTAGTTCCCATCATCGTGAATAGATGAGTTTTTTTTTCAACGCAAAGCTATTAGTGGTTAATAACCTTAACAAATCTTGAAATATGGCCATGAGCACGTCAGTACTTGTAGCTCAAAGTGGTTGTACATACAGCTGATTATCTTCAGCTACATCTTTGTCTGATATTATCACTCAGAAACTTTTTTTGAGGAAAGGCACATTGCTGTAAATTACAACAATATACCAATCAGCCGATGGAATAATTTCAATTCTGTTGGAACCAGTCAGGCGGAAACATTTGGTCTACCTTACGATACAGGTATACAAATTCTGAGTTCTTACTTCTCACAACCTCTTGTCGATGATGCAGCTAGTGCTTGTAGTGGACTAATCAAGTTCACATTGTGAAGGACAAAAATTTAGATCTGTTTTCTTTTGATAATTGTGTACGAACATTTTGACTCGCTTCAGGATCTGTCATGCATTATGGACCATTCGGATTCGCATCTGACCCATACACTCCGACGATACGAACTCTAGAACGCATCCAACAGAACACTATCGGTCAGAGAATAGGTCCTTCATTTCTGGACTTTCAAGCGGTGAGGAGTGAGAGAAAGTCGCGAGTTTTTAAGTATTAATATCAATCTCTTCATAGATCAATGCTGCATACAGCTGCAACGAACACTGTGCTCCTTTGAACTGTTTACATAACGGTTATCCGCATCCAAATAATTGCTCAGTATGCACTTGTCCAGACGGATTCAGTGGGCAGTTTTGTGAATCTGTCCATTCATCTGTTGGAGAGTGCGGTGGCTTGATAATGGTACAGCTATGATTACATATCTAGAAACTCTTGACGTCTTTCGAAAACAGATAGTTTAGGTTTCAAATAGAGCGCAATATTTAACTAGTCCAAACTACCCTCTCGGTTTTAAGAGTGGTGTGGAATGTTACTGGCTACTCCGTGCCCCATCGAGTAAGTTAACTTGACATCAGAACAGCATGGGTTTAATCTTCCTTGTTTAACAACTCGATTTAGAGGGTCGCGTGTTTTTGGAATTTGTGGATCTATTCGAGTTTCACTGTGAGGATACCTGTGACAAGTCGTATGTGGAGGTGAAGTACCATAATGACAAACGTCTCACTGGTGCGAGGTCTGTTCTGCAATTTCTGCAACGGCTCAAAATTTGACTGCAAAATGAATGGCGTTTTGTTGATCTTTAAAAAATGGCAATACCTAGATTCTCACTCCTGTTGGTTAAGACAGCATGTAACTGTAGCGCTCATTCTTACTTGCCAGAAATACGTCTGCTACAATGTTGTTAGCTACCGCACATTAAAAATTATGCGATTCCAATTATTTTGTCATCAACATCTTTGCTTCGTAAAATAATCTATCCATAATCGATTTCAAATGCTGGAGCCATATTCTACGAACATTAAATTTTGTTAAAGCAGTATCTCAAGAAATCTTGCTTATGTCACCAAAGTACCCCAGTATATAGAAAACTATGTACGCTGAAGCTAAATCCTAATAATCGACACTTCATCTACCATTTACTTGCTGTGTAGAATTCCTGCAAAGTCTCTGGATTCAAATATTTGTCGAACCTTTCGAACCTTTGGCTACCTGTGGGTGGCCTCATATGTCTTTGTTTCCTTCCTTTTGCGCAATGCTTGAAACACACCTTAGGAAGAGATTATGATCTTGCCGTTATATAATTTCTTAGTAGCAACCCTACCTTGTGGCATTTTACCTGTGACATGGAGCTTTGCAAACTGGCTTTAAGCTCTATGGAAGAGCCAAAGCTGTAGAAAGTGGCGATGCAGAATGGAAAAAGTTAATCTGATGAAGTAAACACTAATTCGACAATGATTCTTTTGCGTATAAAACTTTAGCTGTCAGGTAAAACGTTTCGATTTTATAATGATATCATTTCGGCAAACTCTGAAAGGTACGAGTTATTGTAGAAAAAGCGTTGAGTTCTTGTTAGTAAGACATCTTTTCAAACCACAAATATTGCCTTGACAGTACATCTTCAGAATCTGCAAATATTGCCTTGTCAAAACTTTTCATAGTATTTTCGGTAATTTTTTTCTTGATTTATTCTCAGGAGAAGAATTGCATAACAATTATCTTGTTCCAGACACTGCTGCTCGTCATTACCCTCGCAACGCTTTATCTCTTTCGACAATGAACTCGTGGTGATCATGCGAGGATTTATTGGGAATTATCGTGGCTTTCGTGCAAAATTCTGGACTGATTCTCCTGATAAAGTGCCAGTATGTATTCGTATTTTTATACTGTTTTAAGATTTTTAGCAACACTTGCGAACGACATCTCATAGTCAATTCGTTCAAATAGTGATGATGGTGTTTTCGGCCCTGAATTTTAGGGAACCACTGCGTATACAACGGCTCCAGAATTCGCCTCCACTACTGAGAGGACATTCACTATGCCTACGAGTATCTTCATTACGACGAAAGCCATTAGAAATCTATTTATACTCCCCACAAGTTTCATTACTGAAAAACCTACAATTAGCAATGTTGTGACCGAGAAAGAGTGGGAAAGAGGGGGAACAGTACAAAGCACACTCACGGCTACCACCGAGGTCGTACAGATTTCTACCAGACACTAAATTTACGATAGACCTCAAAATTTAGAAACGTCGTACCACAGTTTTACCACTGCGAACATCAACGAAAAGCTTACTATCCACACTTCTTACCACTACTAACCCACCAAGGTTCAAATTTTCGTTTTCACCAAACTTTGAAAATTCCTGTAAAACTAACAGAATCACACCACCACCTATGTTACTTCTAACGACGGAAAGCGGAACACTTTCTCCGGAAGGCGGTGGAGGTTGGCAATCTTTATTTGTTTTACAAAAATTTAATACCAATTCCTTCAGCGTGCAACTGTGGAACGTGGTCGGAGTGGGTTGGAGAGTGTTCACAGCCTTGTGGAGGATGTGGACACCGTGTTCGTACAAGGCATTGTCACAGGGAAAGTTGCAGGTGAGCATAAACTGAAGAAGTTCTGAAGACAACCTTCTTTGATTACAAGTTTCTTCGACAGGAAAGAGGAGAAACGGCCATGCAACTTCGCCGTTTGTCCATCTGGCACGAATTTCCTTATCAACAATGGCGAATTCCACATTTTGTGGAGAGGATGCTGTGTGGGACTGTTCAGGTAGGATATTACTTTGACTACTTGTTACCTAATAAAGTTTGATATCCCTTCTCATCTTTTTTTATATTTTTATATGACCAACTCATTGTTCCCTTCGAATAATGATGCTTCAGGTCGGAAGATGAGTGCACCGCGCTGGAAACAGATCAGAATCCGTTTTTCAAGATCATTACTTCATTGTTCAGTATCCGGGATGCAAGTCAAAATGGCACAGATTTGCCCATTAAGATTCCGCGAGGAGAACATTGAGTGTTTACATGATTTGATTCCTGTTCCACGAAAATCATGTTTTCTTTTGTTTTCTTCGGAAGCTATCGAAGGCGGTACTACTATGAGCGATTTCAGAGCGACTTTCTTTACTTAGTTAGTTTGACCTGTGATGAGTGATAATGTCTTTCAGTGTCGTATATGTATATAAAGTATACACGATATAATAGATGGTCTTTGTTATGACTGATTACCATGACGCCTTGATTTGAGTGTATGAAGTTATTTCCATGGTGTTTTGTTCCGTTTTACGTGATTGTTTGGAATTTATTTACTTTCACAAAACGTCACTGTCTCTGCCAGTAGGGTATACATAATGACAAAACTTTGCCCACTTCCATTATCGAAGAAATGTGTGATCGGACCACTGCATAGGAATGGCACAGTTTATACGGTCACTCCATTAATCGGCAAGTACAACATAGGCTTATATCAGTGGCGGACCGAGGGGGAGGGGGCGCCCCCCCCTCGAGAATGGGTCGCGAAATTTTTGAAAATCACTTATGTGGGTTATAAAAAGGCGCAAGCGACATGTTTATTTTTGTAAATGATTAAAATAATTTTTAAAAAATGTTAAAAACACAAATTAGCCTTATAAGCTCCCTTTTTCTAGATTTCGGGGGTGGGGGACCCGCGAAAATTTTGAGAAGCACCCAAAAATTTTTTTGGAGTGCGTGGCTGCCACGCACCTTCACTGGAAAAAAATATTGTCGCCCCCCCTCCCCCCCCCCCAACCCGGTCCGAAATCCCGGGACCGCCACTGGCTTATAGTATTATTGTGGCGCGTGCCATCCTTCCTTCACAAATCTATTCTAAAAGATACTTCTGACCGCACTTGCAAATAATGAGGAATTTTCACGTGATTAGATCTATAACAAAGTATCATCCGCAGAATATTCTACGCACGCATGGTACCTCGCGTGATTACAAGTCTGTTTTGCAAAAAAGGCAAATAAGATCGGCTCCCAGATTCGTGTGTTGCTGTATTGCAGACTTTGCCTGATAACACGGATAAACTTATTAAAGCTCCACGTTATGGCATTGTTTTTCGTACTCTCTCGCTAGCAAAAACCGCCACGCTATGAGATGGCAAGACTCCACCTCCAAACGAATTTGGAAGCCGATGATATATATTAACCCATTTTACGACAACGCCTAGTTTTTGATCGCGGCTCTATGGGACGACGCGATTATGCACAACACTTTCGGTGTGGGAAGGTTTTGTAGTTATTTACGAAATGCAAGATTGTTTTGTAAACAGTTATAAACATTTCCTTGCACGACAGAGCCTACAGGCCTCAAGAGTGCAAAAATTGGAAAAATACTAATATGTGGATGAAATGCTAGATTTACAAATGATATGACTTTGCAAGAGGTGCGGGCCACCGGTGGTCGACATCGTCCCTGGCAGCAAAAAGTGCTTGGGCCACCGGTGGTTCACAAGTCGTCAATGGGTTAAGAACAACCTCTTGCGATGATCGATATCATTTTTATCACTACCTTGTAAGTTATTTGGTGAAAGAAGAGGGACAAAACTTAGCAGAGATCAAATGAGGTTGGTGTACATTGACCCGGCATGATGGGAAATTGTCAAAAATGCGTTGGATTTATTGATTGCAAAGGCTTGTTGATTTGCATCATTATGGTTCCTCCAAATGTTATGCTGCACCATAAAATGAAAAATCATTGATTACATCATTCGCATTGATGGACAACGATCATTTGCGCGATCTTTTGGTGTTCCCAAGAGCAATCGATCACATAAATGCTTCTGCGCGCACTTAAAATTAGATACACAATATTTTACTACGTGTACAGAAGAGTTTAGCGTTTTTCTACTACCGCTCAGTTAGTAAAACTCGGAAGGCTTGGTGATGAAATCATCTCGTAGCTTGCATATGTTTCTATTCATATCATTCTTGCGATAAATCACTAAACCCACTGACTTTTGTAAACACGGAGTTTTATGTTTCTGTTCATTAGTCTATGGAAGTATAATATTGGGACCATATTTTTTTGAAAGAAGTCCAGAAAATCAAGGTGTTCAACCTATCGCATCAAAATTCGTATCCTTCCCATTAGTACAAGATTTTTTTTTATGTTCCAGGTGAACTTTGAACCTGCTAAGAAGGTATGGTAACATGCTCCCGTCGCAAGTTCTTGCACGCGACAATCGGGCGCGCCTTGACTCTCCGACGACATACGTGGAGATTACCAGCGGTGATGCCTGAGAAATGAAGTTCGTACATGTGATATGAGGCATTCAATATTATTATTGCATTTTATCTGTGTTTGTTTTATATTTTGACATTGGATTTGGATGAACCACGGTTTGTGTCGTTACTAATAATATTATTAACGACCTGTCTTCGATCTTGTGAATGTATATATTTCTGTCATGGACAAGTTGCCGATTGTCTACGCACCTGTTTAGCCGCCGGATCACCCTCATGGCTCTTGATAATCCACTCGGCGGTGCCTACTTTCAAGTAGGCGAAATTTCTACTGTAGTGATAGCATTTCTTGCCAGAAGTTGGCATCCAGGCTATACACGTCCAATTTGGCTGTATAAGAGAGCCTGGATACCGAGTTCTGGAGTGGCCATTATCGCCGGTTGTGCCCCGTTGCCGTTCGTCTTATTTTTACAATAAATCGTTGTTGCCACCCAACTTGGTCTTTTCCAAATTGGTGCATCGACCAACGGATCGTCTCTACGGTGCTGCTCACCGAAATTCGATAAAAGCCCCGCGTGGCAGGCTACTAACAGCCGATATTCGACTCTCGTGATTGTTGGTCCACCACTCTCGCGAACAAGAGCCTTACTAAGCTGTCAGGTCCTATCCACAGCTTAGTAGAAATTTTTAGCTAACTGATTGGTTCACCACAGTTAGCAAACAGACTTCTCGCACCTTTCGGCTACTAATTAGCCATATTCGACCCAAGTGATTGCTGGTTCACCACTTTCACTAACTCGGGTTTTGCTAAGCCATAGCTTAGCAGAAGTTTTCTAACTAACTGACTGGTTCGCCACAGTTAGTATAAGAACTCTCAAACATTTTTGGTTTTCAACAGCCAAAAAAGACTGTGGTTGTGGTTCACCACTTTCACATACACAGCTAAAGTTATCAGGTCCTGTCCATAGCTTAGTAGGAGGGTCACACTAGCTGCCTGGTCAATCCGCAGTTAGCAAACGACTCTCTCAAACTCTTTGACGGTTCATCAACCAACCGGCTTGCGCTAGCTATGAGGTCAATCCATAGTTTAGCAAAAGAAGCTACTTCCAGCTTTCTTTCCGTATTCAGTCCATGCGAACGAGACAAGCTATGACCGAGTTGGCTGGATTCAAGACACCCATCTCAATGGCATGTTCTGCACTAAATAGCCTCGAGAGCAGAATCCTGAGCATAGAGAATCTGAATATCCTCACACAATAACGGAATGCAATGTCTACATAGCCGACAAAATCGCGGAAATCGATGAAGTGCAGATCTCTCTCACGTGCCTGCTGGAAAATCTTGAGGTCCGCATGCAAAATGCCATGAATTTCATTGGCGCCAAAAAGGACCAATCAGAGAGGGAAAGCTGATGAATAATCTAGACTCCTTCCTAACAACGGAAGCCCACCGTGTACAACTAGAAGCTATACACTGGACAAGCAAATTGAAGTACAGAATGAAGGAACTCGAGAGATAGTCAAGTGTGATAGACAATCTGGCTTCTTCAACGGCCCAGACTCCAACACAGTCAGTACTCTCTCCGCCAGACAATACAGCGAGAACAAAGTGCGTCTACCGACACTTGAGGTTCGTTCCATCATTCAACGGGAAGTACAAAGACTACCCAACATTCTGGACAAAATACAACTCACTGATTCACAGCAATCCGCAGCTCAGTGACATTAACAAATTCCTCTTCCTGAGGCAAGCACTGAAAGGATCGGCGGCATCAATGCTCAGAAACATGTCAGTAGCAGGAGAAAACTACGAAAAAGCCTTCTTCAGATTTGTTAAGTCGTTTGTCGCTTCTCGACAAACGACTTAACAAATCTGAATGCATAGCGGACTTGCTGATCACTGAGCTCGAGAAACTATCCCGAGCAACAGAAGACGATACCAGTTGCCGAAGGACAACGGACGTGAGCGAAAAACTCCCACATTGAGTGGGCTGGAGTTTCACTGGATAACGGCCGAATGTGAAGAAGATTGATCCTGTCGAAATTCCCAGATTCTATTAGTAAAAAGGTTCTCAGCAAAGAGCAGAAGGATGGAAAGTCTCTGTCAACCAATGAGATCCTGCAGATTTTGGAGAACGCTGTTGCACTTCACGAAACAATTACGCTCACGACGGGAACATACACGATCGTATAACACTGCAAACCAGTCGGTAAAATTTCAACTATATGCGCACACGAACACCAAGGTTTGAGCCTTCTAGGAATATTGGCCACAAAAAGGGATGCAAATCCCTTGCCTATGTGGAACTCGTCCCACAAGCTTCCGCAATGTCCAACATTGAGAACTCCGGAAATGCGTCGAACTGAAGCCATTAAGAGAAGAGTGTGCTGGAAATGCCTTGATAGCAGTCATTAATCAAGTATTTGCAAGAATCTAGGACCTTGTCCGAGGTGCAACAAGGACCACCATTCACCTCTATTTACTGTTGATCGATTCTCCATGAATCCAACTTCGTCGACCACGACACAGTCAAGGTTTAGCAAAATCAAACGACCATCTGGAGGGAGAACGAAGGCATCACAGAGTGCCGAAGTCCTTTTACCCAATTTGGATGTGAGAAATGAGTCAGATGGGTTACAATATGTACTCATGACAGTTGCAGCACTGGCCTTCAACTTCCATACGACGGATTACGAATCTGTTACCAAATTTTTTGACGGCGCTCAAAAACCCTTCATCGCTACCGAGAAAAGCATAAATTTCAAACTACACTCTAATTAAGACAGCCAGCTTTACCGTAAGCGGCTTTGAAGGGAAAGCTAACACATTCAACTCTGACGAAGTATCAATTACGCCCAGAAATGTCATAAACGGACAAGCAATAAAGGACATTTCAATACACACGAAAACTCCTTTAGTTTCAGCTATAAGTACAGCGAAGCTGAGCGCCGACGATGGAAGTTTAATTCGAAAGCAACAGACCAAAGCAGCACAGCCCACACTCGAAGAAGCTTATCACTCCCGACATTCTCTTAAGCCAAGATCTAATCGACGACTTCATACTCAGAAATCGTCGTTGCGTAATTCTGCCATCAGGCTTGATACTCACTCCGATAATATTCGGTTATGCAATCTCAGGAAAGAGTTCAATTCAGGGTATCAAAGCTCCGACAAATACGAATACGATACTCGTCGCGACTCCTATAGTCAACACTGCAAAGGAGGAACCAAGCAGGACATTAAGAACTTGTACGAACTATAATAGAATCCCTCGGTCTTAAAGTGGACAAGGACAGTGACGAAGAAGCAGTTCTGCAGTTTATGAACAACTACAGAAGTACAATTTCAATTGAAAATGGTAGAATCACAGCAGGATTCCCATTTCTGGACAACATCACACAGTTGAAAAGCAACTTGAATGTGGCAGTCAAACGCCTCCAAGCTCTAATTCGGATACTTCAAAACGACTCGGAAAAAGTGAGCCTATGTAACGAAGCACAGAAGATTACCGTCATCAAGAAATCATCGAAGAAGTTCACGAGCATAATACAGCTGGCGTAAAATCACATTTTGTTTGCCTCATCGTCATGTTTGGACGCCGGGAAAATCCACACAACTCTGCATCGTCTTCGACGCGTTCTCACACGCAAAAGAGAACTAAGCCTGAATGACGTTATACATCAAGGGTACTCGCTGACTTCCTGCATCTTCGATATCCTATTGAAGTTCAACACTTACGATTATACAATAGTTGTGGATATGAAAGCGTTCCTGCAGATTCAGTTACCTTTTGAACACAGAGACGCTACATACTTGTGGATGAAGGACACATCCAAGCCTCCCAACGATAGCGATATCCGATACTACAGATTCTGCCGAGTACCATTTGATGCTGGACCGGCAATACTGAATCAAGCGCTGTTCAAACATCTTGAGTCATTCACAAGCAACACATTTCGAGAGATATCGGATACGCTGTATGTCGACAACGTCTTGAAGGAAAGAACAACGAAGAACAAATCAATTACAAGATCCCAACGCATGATCGTGCTGACTAACATAAAAGTTTGGGGTTGCACTGGTAGCGACGACGATCAATTAGGTCTCGTATGCGCTGCAAAACCGTCTACAAAAACGACCAAACGATACGTCCTCAGCCAGCCAAATCAATGGAGTCTGCCTCGACGGACTACTCCACACCTTTGTTTCTTCAAGACTTACACAAGAAGGAACTGGCATGGGACGATCCATTGTCAAAAGAAGACAGCGATATCTGGGAAGCAATCAAGAATAACATGGTCCACTTCTCCATCCAACTACCTCGACGCGTAACGCAGGAAGAAGGATGCACATCCCGCACACTTTCGATGTTCGTCGATAGCTCGAAAGGAGTGTAGGCTTGCGCTGCCTACATCACAAAGGATACACAAGCAGGAGAGCGCTATACGAGACTATATTGCGCAAAGTCAAAAGTGGCCCCATCGGACAACTCAAACAGTACCAAAGCTCGAACTGCTAGCCATATTTATCGGAATGAATCTGCTGGAATACACTGTAACCAAGAGCGGACTGAAGTTCGATAAAATCAATTTGTTCAGCGGCTCTACCATAGCGCTTGGATCCATTCCAAAAAGCGACTTTCTTCTCTTGTTACCAACTTGACACAGAAGATACAGCTGACTAGAGAACTCCTTGAATAATACCGGCATGTTCAAATCTACTATGTTCCTACAGAAGAGAATGTTGCTGATCATGCAACTCGCGGTCTTTCACAAGCAGAAGCTAGCGATCACGTATGGTTCAAAGGACCTCGCTGGCTCAATGAGCAGGAGCAACATTGGCCTGTTCGTCAGACAGAACAGCAAAGTCAAGAAGAAGAAGAAGACTCTCTCGCAATGATTGCCACTATGGTAACACCTCTCAACACCCTGACAAGGCAACCAAGAACCTGGCCTACTGAAGCAGTCAGTGCTATGACAAGCTCAAAAGAATTATTGCCTATTCCTTACGATTTGTACGTAAAATCAGCAAAGGCAAACTCTATCAACTTGACGAGCACTGCGAAATGTTTGGCGGCATTCCAAATGCCTAAGAGATGATAATCGCAGAACGCCACCTACTTTGAGAAGAGCAACAGCAGTATGATTTGCAATCCTTCACAGACAGCTGCAAAAACAAGACCATCAAGGAAGACCTACATGGAATAGAAAATTTGGAACTCGAATTGGAACTACGACGCCATCAATCCAATCTACCTTCCCCGCAAAGGACTACTGAACGCTAGAATTGCGGCACAGCTACACAAAAACTTGTTTCATTGCGGCATCAACCAGCTAGTCAAGCTCTTCGCGAGAAATTCTGGACCCTAGCAGACAAAACGTTCTGCAAGAAGATTATCCAAAACTGTGTCATCTGTCAACGGTATAAGGCTGTCCATTACAAATACCCACACATGGGACCACTACCTTTCGAAAGGGTTACGCAGTCGCCGCCTTTCACCTTCACTGGAGTAGATTTTATGGGAACAATCACCATCAAAGATGCAAGTGGCGAGGACGAAAACCGATATGTCGCTCTATTTACCTGCTTAGTGACACGGATGATTCACCTAGAAGTAGCGAAAGACTTGTCAGCACGAAATTTCCTGTTAGTTTTTGAGCGCTTTACAGCTAGAAGAAGTGTTCCGCTGAGGATAATAAGCGACAACGGCAACAACTTTCGCCTGACCGAAACCATTCTTCGCCGCGATGATCCGCCCTCATGTTCACCAGTACCACTCTTTCTTGCCAAACACAACATTCAATGGAACTTCATTCCACCAGCTTCTCCATGGATGGGAGGAGCATGGGAGAGAATGATCGGGGCTGTCAAAAGGGCCTTGCTTAAAACGATAGGAAGACGGAAGATCTCAGAATAAATTTTTTCCACAGTCCTCTGCGAGATTGAAGCTGCCGTAAATTCACGACCATTAACGACAGTTGGAGAAGCTGCTGACATCAATGATGTACTTCGCCCAATCGACTTTGTGTACAAGAACATTCGACATGGCATAGAAGTTGTACGACGAGACGAACAACATCAGGAAGATCCTCCATACCAACCCTACCCCGAAGATTTCAACGCAATTGGACGCAAAGAAGGCCATTTCTGATGCAGAAAAGCTTACCAACAAGTTCTAGGACAAATGGAAAACAGAGTATCTCTTGGAGCTGTGCGAACTCCACGTACTTTATGGGAACAATTACAAGTCATCGAGAAATAATCCGTGCGTTGGTGACCTCGTGCTTATCGATGATGATCTGAAGACATCCAGAGACCACTGGCCAATGGGTATGATCGAAGACTTAGTCAAAAGCAAGGATGGAGAAATACGAAGCGCCGTACTTGAAACCGGAACTGGGAGATGCGTACAGCGTCCTCTCAATCGCCTCATTTCATTGGAAATTCGCGCCATAATGGATCCGAGCGCAATGGCAAGCACTTCGCGCGACAATGAGGAACCTCAAAGTAGCATACAAGCTCTACCGCAACGCAAACCTCTTGAAAGAATGGCTAAGAAACCCATTAATTATAACGAAAACGTGGTATTGGCGAAACGTCGTCCATGGAATGCGCTCAGCATTTTGCTAGCCTTGACAACATGCGCATTTGTACATTCTGCACAGGAACAAGTACTGAACTGCACTTACACTGGACTCATACTCAACTTATCGTCAATTCCGGACCTAAACAGCAGAAGTGAAGTATGCGTCAATCGCATTCAATGCCAGAGCATACACACGGATCAGCAATCCATACAAAGTTACCTACCGCCACATCAGCTAACTAACCCATATTCCGTAAAATGGCGTGCTATCATGAACATCACACTATACGAAGAGGAAGTGATGTCCCAGAGCAATCAGTGTGCAATTCCATACATTGCACCATCTTCTATTTGGCAACCCACGCTGTTTTCCGAAAACAACCATCGCAATGATAGCTACGGTCATTTACATCGTTAAATTACTCACCACCATCTCCACATATACGGTTGCGGTTGCACGTGCAGCAGCCATGCTCAAACAAAGATGCCGTTCGCTCAAAGGCTCAAAGCGAAAAACGATGGATTCCATGGCAACAGAGCAAGCCGAAAAGGTGAAGATGCATCCGAATGCAGCTGCATCCGATTCAAGCTCATCTTCTCGCTTTCAGTACTGGCTGTAACAGGTTGCTGTCAGCACACCCATGTTCTCAACCCCAAGGATCTTCGCACCGACTTTCTCGGAGATTCAAGATGTAAGAGTGTCGAGAAGCATACCTTCGCAATGAGCAGCTTCAAACGCAAATTTACATGAAGATCATGTACAAAGGAGAACTGATCGCGGCATTGAACATACAACTCGACACATAAGAATTGAGTGCGTACCTGTCACTCACTTCTTCGTCAGGAACTCTGAGCTGACAACAGTTTCTTCCAAACGATGCGCTCAAGCCGGGAGTTGCACGCAACAAAGATGTCGCACAATCGCACAAAACTGTTCGCTACGGAATTAAACGGCTCATATCACCTTCCTGGAGTGACACGATGCCAAGAATCTTGTGGAGGAATTGATTGTGGGTGCCTCTTACCAATGCCAGGCTGTCTTTTTTCCCGTACCTACTCAAAACCGAAAGACGACCTCATGTACAAAGTCTTTTCCTGTCCTGTGTGGAATGAAAAAGCAGAATTACGAGCTCGATTAATTTTCGGGCTCCCACAATTTCTAGCCTACAAGAGAAGGATATTGGTCACCGCGGCCATTCATATGATTCGTATATCAAAAAATGCGCCTTTTGATGCTGGTTCGAACACTTTTTCCATATCTGCGAAACGATAATCTGGATGGAGTTATGATTATTTTTCCATAAATAAACCGCGTTACTACGGAGGGTCAAAATCATCAATAAAAATTTTCTTTCCTTTTCAGATGCTGAATATGATTTAGATGGGTATAATACAACAGTATTCCTTTTAAGATTCTCTTCAATAGCTTCAAATGGTAACTTGGAATAAATTTGGTGATTTTAACTACACAAAAGTACGCAAATTTTCTACGAAAAAAAGTTCATAACTTCCTTCAGAAGATCGTTTCGCAGATATCGAGCGCAGATTAATCAGCGTTTCGAGGTGCATCTTAGAGTGTACATCGCATTCCAAATGGCCACGGTGACCGGGTATCCTTTCCTTGTTAGATCGGAATTGGTATACAACCGTACCACCCTCGAGACCATGATATCCTCGTCCGACGACAAGTTCGCGGTCAAGTGTATCACATCAGAGGTCGCACGAAATTCAACAAAATGCCGTTTCATGGATACGTGCAACTGTACCTCAAGATCCACAGCCGCTGTTTGCTACTGTGCCAATGTCAATCATAGAAAGGGCGGACTCCTTGGATACTAGGACCCCTGCACAACTCAGAGTTTTCTCTGGAAGCCGACGAGAACTCAGTAATAGTTGTGAGCCCCCATACCTCCGTCGCAGAAGTTTCCTTACCAACTGAAGCCAGACGAAAAACTGCTACGGTCATCATATCCACCAAATGCGAGATTCACGCCTCCGAAGCGAAAGGCTGCTACAACTGCTTCCAGGGAGCAAAGCTGGTCTTCACGTTCACTTCCAAAATCAGGACAACTGCGGAAGTTGCTTGCATTGATCATCATTACACGATATATTGCGGAGCGAAAGACTACTACGACTGTATTGACCAGTTCCAGTACCGCCAACTATGCTGCGCAATGTAGCACCCAGTGCGAAGCACAAAAACATGGTCTGCACTCATCGGATCGCTTTATTACCACTCTATGTGGAAAGACGATTTGGAACACGCTAGCATCGAAAAAACCTATTACGTGGACTTTATCAACATTCCTGACCTCAGCACAGGTTATTTCTCACTGGTGGACCACTTCGCTTACAGCAGCAGCTGTGATAGCATTTTCAATAGCTACCACACTGATCTGAGACCTGCTCTGTTTCGAAAATGTATGCCCTTCTAGAACATAACATTATGCAGCACCCTCACATGTACATAACATCTGCACTCTCGCTAGTCCCCTTAGGCATCGTTGCCTGACAGTCCACCTACTTCTAGGCGGTGATGTACAAAGCAATAATTCTGTTCCGCGGAATTTTGACAGAAAGAATGTCGAACTCCAAAGATTTAGCCGGCAAATTTACGATGCCTAGGTCGAACCACATCTTCGTATAAAATGGTAACACTTCCATGCACCCCAACTTCTACTGCTCACAACAAATACGGCTACTCGAATCCACGTTTCGGATGAAGAGGACCCACTGGACTTGTCATTTGTCATGGAAATGGATCAGCTTGCTACTCATCAAACGACCACCTAATGCTCGAAGCCGCTCACTGCGAAGAAACAGAGGTCTCCCAAAACCGTGCGACGTCTGGCATCCACTCGAAGAAGAGAAGACCTGAAGCCACGTCTCCGAACCTCACCATGGATGACCAAAAGAGAATGGAGAGCCCCAGGTAAAAATCACCAAGCTCGACACAGTTCTCGTTCCAAACACGAGTGTGGCTCTCGTTCTAAAGCCCAAGGTGACGCTGCGTCCCTTGCTGCTGTCGCAAGAGCATCGCTGCTACGTCTCCAGCAAAGATGTCATGGATATGATTTACGCCATATTGGACACTCAGAAAACCAATGAGCAACGCCTGAATAGGATCGAGGACGAGCTTCGTGTTTTGGGCCAGCAAATAGACGGCATTGCGAACAAAATCGAAATCATTGAGGAGAAGCAACGTCCGCTTTCATCAATGCCCCCCTAATGGATGCCCAGCCGTCGCCACCCACGGTACTGCGATGTGTGCTATGTCGAAGGGCATCGTGCATCGCAGTGCGATGCCAGTAAGAGGATGCCTCGCGAGCGAGTACGCGAGTGTACAAGAAAAAAGGCATCTGCAAAATATGCCACCCCATCCATGCAAATTTTACCCAGTGAATTAGTGTTCTATTTCATACTTTGTGGTTGTTGCATTTACGTGCTATCATTCTGAAATAGGTTTTTTGTTGTCATGTGGTTTACTTTGTTTCCATCAATCACGCATTGAAAAAAAATTTTTCTCTATAGTGTGGAATTTATACCATTCTTTCATTTCATGCCCTGTTAGCCTAATGAATTTTTTCGGTAGTTTCATTGTTGACACCTTTCATACATTTTCCATCCTACAGTGGCAATACATCTCGTGCATCATGTACTTCTTCCGCCCCGCCCCAGTGTCGTTAATAATATTATTATTAACGACCAGCCTTCGATCTTGTGAGTGTATATTACAATAAATCGCTGTTGCCACTCAACTTGGTTTTTACCAAAGTTTGGTACCAATACTTATAGCTAATACTTTAGCAAACGATTCGGTTGTTGCTCACATAACTGGACAGGAGGACGACTAAGCGAGAGCATATGAGCCTTCAGACCCGGCCTATCAGGACTTTGCTTCAGGATTTTCCGAACAAAATTCCCTTCCCGCAATATCCACATGAACCCTTGAAGCCCTTATTGACTTTATCGTGAGATTCACGTACACTGTGAAATACAGAATAGATTGAGAAAAAAACGGCAAATTCTTCATTCCTACCCGATCTATAACATCACCTAAACAGGGAACGAGCGTGCACCAAACTTCAACAAAAGTTGATAAGTTAGGAGTGAGTCAAAGGGGAGGAATTTTCACTCAGGGATTCATTCCGTGCGGGCGGGTTGTCACGCCGCAGCGAGCGGGCGCCAGTTTGAAGGCCGTAGCGGTATCGCAGCGCGCCCGCATGACGGTGGATTGCCGCACGCAAGGAGGTTGATAGTTTTGGACACTTATTCGGGGTTATTCTCAGATAATCGCCGGAGCAGGCGGTGTAGAATTTTGGGGCGCGGCCAAACCTTCAGCGGGCGACACTTCCTTTACGGTCGCATATGCTGCCAGCAGGCAGAAATACAGCATTTTTTGCAAGCGCTCGGCAAATAGTTTCTTTCGAGCGCTGGCCAGCCAAGAAAAGGTGAGACTCTATGTGGCAGAGGTGTTATCGATGGTTTGATTACCCAAGTGGGGTACCTTCCTTCAACGGAAGGTACCCTGGGCAAGTGCGGTCCTTCAAATAAGATCGTGGGGCGCCCAAAAATTCTGCATATTCTCGCGGAAAGTCCGCGAGAATGCGGCCACTGGGCTGCAACCTATCCATAGAAAGACCGCGATAGTTCTACCAGCGTTCGTCCAAAAATTGGCCATAATTATTCCAAATTTCTGCACGCGGACCGCAAGAAATCAACTATTTTTCCGGTGCCCGCTTGCTCAAAATTCGCATGGCCGCCTGCCCCCGGCGATTATCTGAGTTGTTGTTGTTTCAACTTGCAATGTTTCAGCTCCAACGATATATGTGTCTTGCAAGACATATAAATCGTTGGAGTCAGAGCGCGATATCTATCCAAGCGATTTCTCGTGCAGTAAAAGCAAGCAACAAAAGAGAGGCAAAACTTTGAATTAGTCTTCTCGCTAAGATAGATCTTTGAAGAGTCTGTCAAAAAAAATCTGAAAATCATTTGAATTCCCAATGTATGCTCCGGGCACATGATTCTCACATGTCAGATTTTTTCTGGCAGACTCTTTCGTCGTTTATACATGTATCCTTCTTTGGATTATAAAAAGGCATTTTTCTCACATGATAGTGATTGAGGAATATTTGTATACATGTAGTCCATCTTGGTGTGATGTGACTGTGCGCTGTAAACAAAGGTTTTGAACATTCTGCATTATGCTATAAATTCTTTCCTTTTGATCTGGGCAATTTAGTATATGACTTCAGTTATACTTCTGTGCCGTACAGGTTGCCGTATAGGTTGTTTTATTCATAATACACTTTTTTATCGCACGTGTCATTTTCAAAGCTTGGAAATGCAGTGATATTGCTCTACTTGCTGCCAAGTCTTCCCGCATGCGTATTTGGTTTGACTATAATGATCGAGAGACTGGGCATAAAAATCTACCCACAGAGTGCATCATCTTGTAACAGCGTCTTTCTGCTTCAAAACGTGCTCGAACGACTGCCTTTTGGAAGCGAGCGGTCGGAACAGTATGAGTACAGAAGAGCTTCGTGTAGTTCGCACAGAGCGAGATACGACAGGGAAACTTGTGATAGATGGCTTTCCATTCTTGTCGTTCATCTGCGTTCCAAAGGCAGATATGTAGGGAGCTCTACCTTTTCATGCAGAGAATTGATCTTTGAAGGCCAACAACTTGCACGTGATGCTGAAGTAATCGCTGCTGTTCCCAATCTCTATGTGCCCATAGAATCGGCACCTTTTTCACTTCCCCTGATGATTACCGTAGAGGTCATTCATGCATAAGCATGACCTGCTGTGATATAAGTACCGTTACTGCCCAAATATGTTCACTTACTTCGCCACCTCTAGACTCACCAGCATTCTGCTACTGCACTAACTCGTGCACATCGTCTGTTCATAAAGCTTATTTGCTAATGTGTTCTGTATGACACCTCCTACAGGCGCTATTTCGCCTGAGGCTAGTAAAGCCTAGAACCACCGAAATATTTGGTGCATCAGCCAAACAAGTAAGGCCGACAATACTTTACTGCAGTAACATCATGACTGGAATCACTACTCAACGATAATACCACTCCTCTTCCACATAGAAGAAGTGAGAGGATCCACCAACGAGCTTGTGGACTGATACAGAAGCAAGCTTCCCATGGTAAGAAAAGCACATTTCCAGATGACGAACAAGAACGAGAGAAGACGTGCGTTCGAGAGCTGGATGTGCTGGCGATTTGTGTTACGGAAACCAAAAGAGCGGGACGTTCGCTGCAATCAAAAATCGATACACTAGAGGAGATCTAAGCCAACAGGAACTCGAAAGCATTGAAGAGACTAATGATGAAGGAACTGGAGGCATACAAGGAAGAGATAAGCTTTTTTCGTACTGTTAATGGTGCCAAGACTTTCGTTTTTACCTTAGAAGGATATGATGGAACACGAGATAGAGCTGGCAATTATGAACAACAGAAAGATTTCCGCTTTGTTGCGGAAAAATAAAAACAAAGAGCAAACTTTTGCCAAAGAGCAGTCGACTAAAGAAGATCGTGATGTCAAATCCAGAAAAAAATCTCATAAGCTGAAAACGGCGTACTATATGCTCAGGACAACCCACAAAAAGAACCAGCATTCTCAAACTTTATGACAGCCACTGTGCGACAGAAACAGAGGCGGGAAAATTACCACAGATCAATTCGACAAAGGACGGCAACAGGACGCAAAGCGTCGAATAGCAGTGATTACCATTATGACAAGTCTGCTCTGTTCATAACGAGGCGCCTGTGCAAGTTACGATGCTTCCGTTGACTAGTGAAGTAGGGACAGATGTCTCCAAAAATGAGAATATGCCAGCTCCGCTTTCAAACAAGGAGATCTCGCCCATTAAATATATTCCAGAGTTTGACTTCTATTATCGTATCGTGTTCAATCCACTAATTAAAACATCTTTACTGAAATTTACTTTCTTATACCATCTGCCTCCTGCCGTCGCAACGTCCGCTCATACTTCGCAGATCTCAACATAGCCAAAACACAAGCCGCTCACCAACGATCATTGCTCTATCCACACAAGAAGCGAGAAGGAGTAGAACATTTGATGCGTTTCTTTCAACTACTGTCTCTCCTTTTCTGCTTCATACCTGGCCGGCGGCAGTGTACCGATAGAATCGACACTTTCACCTCCTCTAGCGATTACCGTAAAAGTCGTGTTTAGCGTACTGGCGCTTTTAGTTTAGCCCGATTCGTATGTGTAAGAGATATGGAAAAAAGTACACAAACTGGAGAGGCACATTGGTGACGTCATGGGTCACATTCACCGCAGCAGTACTGCGGTCAGTGCGGCCGTTGCGGCAGTACGAAGCAACGCTAATGAAGCTGCCAAAGCGACACTCGCACCTGAGATACTCTCCCCAAACCAGACCCCGTTACCGTACTTGGCGGCGAGCATGGATGCTGTGCGGGAGGAATCCAAAGCCTGTTGCATGTTACCGCAGGAGACAATTAGAAGCGCGAGCACTGTGGAGAAGATTTTGGCAACGATCCAGGAAAACTTAGCAAGGATATCAAATCCGAACAAGTCCTTATAACTGTGCTTAGAAATAACTTTGAAAGATATGAAACACAGGTTTGGAGTCAGCTTTGAAACGCACATTTTTCAGTATAGGCCTACCGTCTAAATAAACAAGTCTGCATCGCTATTTTAGCTCCATTTTCAGCAAAGAAAAAAGTATACAGATGAAGTGGCGAAACCAGCATTAGCAACTGAGGCAGGTTCAATGATGCGTAAAAGTTTTCGCTGGAATTTTGAGTGGATTTTTTAGTAGGTTTCTGGGACTTCATTCGAAGTTCAGTAGCAAAAGCTGAAAATCAGGAGATACAGCTGAAGTTAAATCATGATACCCTTTTGCTGTTGTATACAACCTCGTATTACAGTGATACATCGCCAGGGTTTCATGATGACGAGTGAGTATATCAAAAGTCAATAATTTTTTTCTCTAGTGCAATACCAAATTCTGATTCACTGACGCTCGAATGCGACTTGCAATGCTGATTCCAAATTTGCGTGTTTGTATATTTCAAAGTTAATTCTAAGCACAGTTATAAGGGTTTGTTTGCAATTGATATTCTTGCCAAGTTTTATGGATCGTTACCGAAATCTTCTCCGCAGCGCTCGCGCTTCTAATTGTCTCCTGCGGTAACAGGCGACAGGCATTTGGTTCCTCCTCGTGC